AAGGGAGTATTTTTAGTTGATGAATGATAATTGGTATTGTACTCAACTTAGATTACCCACCATTGCTAGATGTGCTCACCAACAAAGACTAAAGGTGTGTTTTGCACTGCTGGTTCACAACCTCAATTCACCTTCTATTTGAAGATGATAGACATTGTTGTTCTGTAGAATCAACTCATGAAGATTTTGGCTGCATTATATGAGAATGGAGATTGAAATCCTATGTACATGAATATCATTTTGAAGGAAAACTTTTGAGACATTTAGATAAAAGGACATTTAAGTGGAGAGAAATCAACATGTTTATTTAGCTAGCTTTTCATCACTAGGATGACATTAAACATGTCATAATTTAATAAGTCATCAATAAAGTTCATTTAGGTTTTTTCAAATTAACATGAAATTGATGTTTTAGGTTTTTTAAACTTGGCATACTTTCATTTAGGTTTTTTCAAATTAACATGAAATTGATATTTTTGGAGAGAAAAAACCTAGAAAAGATGTTGCACATGTGACTCCTTATTCAAACTAAATATCATGATTTCATTAAACAAGATTACTACCAAGTTATGAAAGAATTCTCAAAATATATGGTTCAAAAGAGCTCATATGATTGAGAGTTTGAAAATTATGTTGAGAAACTTCTAGTAGCCCTCTTATATTCAAAAGTTGTTTTCATAACATCTTTCTCTTTGATACAAGACCATAGATCTTAACTCAACCTTTGAAACATAGTAGCACACCAGATAGTTTATTGAGAAATTCTATAACAAAAAGAATGACAAACTCACCTAGAATAACAATTTAATTTAGTATCTAGTAGTCCATGCATAAATGTCATGTCATCTTTCTTTCTTATAAGAAGTGACAAATTCAAATAGGGGTTATTAGAATATTGAATGATGCTTGTGATGCACATTTCTCATATGAGTTTTTCAATTTTTTTGTGTTATATGTGAGAATATCTAAAAGGCCGCATGTTGATGGACTTTGAGTTGGCCTTCAAGATAATGACATGGTCAATCTCCCTCTATGGCAAAAGTTGTATAATCTTGCATAACACTCCATGAAATAATCATTTGAGACATCATTTTCAAGATGTTGTGGCTAGATATGGATATTTATTTTTCAAAGACAACTAATATAGCTCTATGAGAATTTCGATCTTTTCTCTTGGTATTTTTGATCTTTTTCATGAAATATATCCATTCCAATTAGAGTTTGATTTCAGTGTTGGCTAATGATAAATTCTTGTATTCTTGTGATAGTTTGTAAGTCTAAGGGAATCTCACAACAAATGTTCAAGCCTTTCACCTTCTAATTGGTACCAATTGTCACTTAGTCATGGATAGTAGTAATGATTAAAGTCCTAGTTCTTGAGGAATAGGTCTAGAAATTAAATTGTGTCATCCCTATGCCTAATAAGATTGTGAAGTTTCTTTTTCTGATGTAATCATGTAATTTTTTAAATATGCTAGATATATTTTTCATGACAGAGATTGCGACCAATTCTATTTTTTTCAGGTATCCTCTTAAGTTCCCATTCAACTTGAAGGTACTCTCTAGTTGGTGTGTTAACAAACTCTTCATCAATAGGCAAGATTTGCAGCTCGTGCTGACAACAATGCTAAAATGTATACTTCTTCTTCATGAGAAACAAAGTCCTTGAGCATGTTGGGCCTAGATTTTAGAGAGCGTGAGTATTATATGCTTGTATTTATCTATGACGTTTTATTTTAGTTGATGTGTTTCTCATTTCTCTTGTCCCCTTGAACCCCATCTCAGTCTTGTGTGTAAGGATTGAGACCCTTCTATCATTGAAGAGTGTCATCTTTTATGACCAAAGCCATCAAATATAAATCAGAAGGTTTAAAAGTGCTTATCTTTCCATCTAACACGTAGATGTAATATTTCTAGCTTCCACCTTTTATGCCATATGTATGATCAATGGGCTTTAGGATACAATACAAACTTTAGCTCAAATATCATTCCCTAGTTCCTTGAGAAAAGTTTTCTTGCTAATTGATTCTAGAAGGTCTCCCAAATTTATTCCCATCAATTCAAACTCTTCTCTATGTTCTACTGCTAATCCATTTTTTCTCGATATCCATGACTTATTAGTAGAGAAAACTGGGTTGATTGTTGCTGAAATGTTCTAGTAAAATATGGTGTAGGTCTCATCAATCCTTGAAGACTTTGTGTTCAGTTGTCCATTTAAGCTATGTTAGTGCCTCCCCTTTGAAACTTATGCCCATGATAAATAGTTTCTCAATGCATAGATAAATATAACTTTGTGTGAAAATTTTCCCTTTTTAGAGTTTGACCATTAAAGATAGGTATCTCAAGTTTATGGTTGACATTCTAGGATTCTATGAACAAGTTTGAACCATTGCCTCTACTCAGTGTGTGTCTTCACATTAAGAGCATGACCAAGCACATGATACTGAGTTGTCTTCCTAGCTCAAGGCTAGATGACCTTAGTTTGATTCATTGATAGTACTTCTATTGGCCCTTTTGGTTGGTGCATGTATTGGTGGGGAAATTTAATATGTTGATGCAAATCCTTCATGGAACAGACAAGGAATTATAATTGTTGGGCACCGATTGCGTCCCATTCTAATAAAGTAGCTATGCAACATTTAAAGTTGGAGATAGATTAATGAACCTTGTCTAACTCTAATTATTCAACCTAGCCTTTAGCCTTGGGTGGCATTTTGCTCTAAGACCAATATGATCAAATCTTTTGAAGCTCATAGAAAAGTGACCTCAAATTTGGAGAGGAAATATAATTGCAACTAAATACAAAAGATATATTATATGATTCTAGATAACTCAGCATAGAAATATATAGGAGTTTTGTAAAAAATAAATAAATAAAGGGAATGAAAAGGAGCAGGAGAAAATAAGGGCCACTTTGAGGTAGTCGATCCACAAAGTTCTTTATTGGTAACATGCAACTTCTTCCCTTCATGTCTAGGCCCCAATTATTCCCCTATCAAAAGAGGTATTGCTAATTGCTAGTTGTCATCACCCCAAAACATCTCATCATTAGCCAATCCTTGGAAGATAAAAAGGAAGGAATGATTTAAAACCCTATTGGGGATGAATGGCAGATATGAGGGTTGTATAAAAACCCTATTGTGCAATGAAGATATCAAAACTAGTCATTTGGTTGAACTCCATCCTTACTCCTCAAATTCATTCTTAAAAGATTACTTGTGTCATCCAAATTTTGTCATAGATTTTTTTCTATTTTACGTTGATGTAACTTAGCAGTTGTTTATTAAATCATAAAATTAAAAATTTATAAAATAATAATAATAATAATTTTAGAAGTATTTTCAAAAATATATATCAATTATAATTTGATAAAAAGTTCAAAAAATAGTGAAAAAATTTAGATTTATTCACATGAATATAAAATGATATTAGGTAAATTTTAAGAAAAATTTTAAAGAACATATTTTTTAATAATTTTTAGACTAAAAGATTGTAAAAATCCTATTAAGAACTAGATTAAAAGAGGAAATTTAAGTGTTGATATCAAGCTGATGTCAACACCACAAAGAATGGTGATTTGGACAAAAATAAGGTTTCATCTACTAATTGTTGCATAAATGATTACAAACAATTCGATAGAAATAAAATTTGTATATGTTGATCGTAATTAGACTAAAGTAGAGTTTCAAAACTTAAATTCAAATAAAATATTATTAAACTAAATATTAAATGATTTTAAACAAGTAAAAATAAAGTTTTAGCATTGTAACAACTATCATTGAAATTCTATTAATTTAGAAGGTTTATGAGGGGTGTCCATGATTTCAAAAGTTCTTCTTTGACTTGCATGGTTGTGAGTATTCTCTAAATTTTCATGCAAAGTCAGGCAACAGCAAAGTGTTTTTAATGATTGTCACTTGGTGGAGCAGAAATTTGGGAAAGATAAGTCTTTGGTGACTATCTCCTAATAGAGTTGAGCTTGTTGAAGATGAAGCACATTTCAAAGAGCTTCACCTTAAATCCACATAATAAGAGGAAACTCTTTATCACATTTGGAACACTCTAAAGAGATCTTAACAAATCTCTTGGTAGATCACTTATTTGTCACTAACTAGAGATGATTTCTTTTAAGAATTTATAACCTTTTTATCTAAAATCATTCATTAGTTGTTTACAATATTTATATATTATCATTGAGGAAGATTTCATCAATGATTGATTATCTTTGGTTGCTATTTTCTTTAGGTTATATAGAAAAATCACAAAATTAAAATAGAAAAAGCTATAATTTTTTATGTTTGTGAGATTGTAACCTTCATTAGTCACTTAATTAACTAGGAAAAGTTAAAAAAATTACCAAAATACCCTTAAAAATAGTGAGCACATGACTATGTTACCTTCTCTTAATGTAGGAGTATTTTTGATATTATTTTGTCAACCTATTCTATCCAGATTTTAGTCCCACATCAGTTTTATTTAGAAGTTTGAGGTGAATATAAGTTTGCACCTCCTTCCATATTCAAGTTCCCTCCTCTAGAAACAAAATGGTTAGGATCACTTAGGGAGGTGTAAACTAGGTGGTTCACCCCCATATACACGTGATGAAATCATATTTTGTCTCACGCTTAGTTCAGCCATAGTGATGTGGAAGAGGAGTAATGCACGTGTTTTGTGTGAGTTCCTTGAGTCATTTGATTTACAAGGCAGGCTCGTACATAGTCTGAGCTGATTTGATTTGTGGCCTCCTCTCTCTCTCTCACTCAGTATCAACCCTGTGTGCGAGCGTGACCATGCCCCGGCGAGTCACCTGTGCACATAGATGTGTCAGCGTGACAAGACGACTGCTAGCACCACATGGACTGCTTGGCCGAAGTCCGAATGCGTGCGCCTGTTGACCCGCTGACCGGCCGAAACCCTCCTGCAGAACTAATTCTTGGAGCACATAGCACGTAGTGTGAAACCGCTGCGCAGAGGGTTTGGAGGTCTGGCTGCGGAAGAGGATGCCGGTCGCCAGACCGGAGCCGCTGGCCTCTCGCGTAATCGCGCACGTAGACATGGATTGCTTCTACGTACAAGGTCTTTCTCCTATGATTATTCTTCTCTCTCCTCTGTCTCTCTGTCTCTGTTTGTCTGTCTGTCTGTCTGTCTGTCTGCCTCTCTCTCTCTCTCTCTCTCTCTCTCTCTCTCTCTCTCTCTCTCTCTCTCTCTCTCACTGACTGGGTCTCTCACTGAGTGAACTACTCTTTGATAAAATCTGAATGGAAAAGTTCTTTCTGAAACATGCCTTTTGATTTTAACGTGAATTACATGTTTGGCTACGCTATAATTTCCTTATTTTCCTTTTCATCTCTGCATGTTTTGAGAAAATTCACTATCAGGACGATTTTCTTTTTCTTATTCTGCGATGTTTGCCTCAACATTGTGACAAAGTACTTGTTTCGCCGGATTCTTTTGAATAATGGGGTTTGAATAGTTGGGATATAAATAATGAGGGTTAAGGCCCTGTCGATCATATGGAGGCTTTCCATGTTCTCTAAAATTCACGAATAGAATAACATGTGAGAAATCATTTTAATACTGAGGGTGACATCTTATTTCTGCATCTATGCTCATCAAATTTTGCTGAGATTCCTATAAAAATAATGAAACTAATCAGCGTCACTCTCATGATTTGTTCACCTCCTTAACGTCTGTTATTTCCCCTCCTATTTGTTCTTTTTTTCAGACATTTGGGGGTACATGCTATTGTCTCTTGCCTAAAAATTACTTCCATTGATCTTCCAAGTCTGTATTTGTTACCATCTGGGGTATGAGTTAGTTCATTAATCATCCTCTAGAGCATGAAGCTGATCAAGTGACAGCATAGGTGACAACAACAACAACAACAACAATAGCACAAGAATGTAGCATCATTTATCGTTTTTGTTTTTTTAAATAAGCCAAAATGACAAAATATGTTAGAGAATCTCTCGATTGGAAACTATTTATGGCTGAGAAAGCCTCCAATAGGCAACATTTTTTTCTGGAACCAACGTTATAGTCACTGTATCACACTCAACGAAATTAGGTGGGTGGACAATATTTGTTCCAAATTAAATTTTCTAACTTAAAAGTCTCTAAATAATAGGAAGACCAACTTATTTAAAAAGAAAGCCTAGTTTGATGTTGGATGGGATAGAAAACAAACTTAGAGATAATCTATTACACAGAGAAAGGACATTTGAACCTGAAAAATTTGTTGGTTGTGTTGTCGCAATGATGCTGTTAAGGCACTTAGGTTAATACCATATGCTTTCTCGTAAATGACCGTAAGAACAAACATATGCATTATATCTTTTATTATTAGATCCTATTTAGGAATATATAGCTACTTTTTGCCTATTTAAGAAGGCATATATTATATATAGATGAAGAGTTTTTTTTGAGAGAGAAGTATTCTTCGTTCCATTTTAAAAGATGAAAGGGGACCAAAAGAAAACATGAAAACACAAACGTGTATAATGCTCTGCCCTCTGGAGAACCTCAAAGTCTCTTTATAAACTATACATCATGCATAGGAGGAAAAGTGAATTTGTAGAAAAGGAGGCAGCATTGGAATATAGTTGGGTCTTAAATATATGATACAACTCTATTCAAATAGTCAAGACTAAATAAAGAAACAAAAATTGCATAATACGAAGAAAGAAAGCTTGTATTATACAAAGAAACAAATAATTCCTTGATATTAAGAATGGTAAATCTCCATCCTACTCATTTGTTCAAGGGGTATGCCTGTTACTCCCATCAAATTGAATCTGAGAGTCCAGCAACAATTTGTGGAGTGAACTAATGATGATTGGATATCAAGATTTCGATGAAAACATCATCAAAGTACTCCTTATACATTAAACAGCAACAAAAGGAGTGTTTTTATGAAACAGTCGGTTTTCAGCAATTCGAATATCACTTTTATTGTTAGCATGTATAGAAGTCAGTGTCATTAGAGGAAGCCCTAATTCCATAAACAAGCATGTAACAACGTGATCTTTAGCGTTAGTAGAGGATTTAAAAACTCGATCTTGCATCTTACACTTCCAAGAAATCAAAGACTTTCATATGAAAATGCACCAACTAGTGATTTACTTTCTTGTATTAAGACACAGGCTCTAATGTGCATCAGGATAATCAACCAAGGATATATAAAATTCACTGCAAACGATCCTGGACGAGAGGTGTCTTTAAGTAGCAGACAATGCCATGTACAACCACAAGATGTGAAGGCTGATGATTATTTATGAATTAGTTCATTGTGTAGGCAGCATAAGATAAATGAGGCTTCCAACTAGTTGATGATAATAGGCTTGATCATTGAGATGAGTACATCTTCAGGTTTTATCTTCAGATTAAACTCCATGGGTGTATTGAACCTAGTACTATTTTCCAATTAGGAGATCAATTCTTGCAAGTATTTGTGTTCATTTCGGTAGATACCTACAAGGGATCTATGTGTGTCAGCGGCCAATATAATTGAATAGTCCATGATCTTTCCTCTGAAACGAACACATACAATATAGAGTATGTGTTGATGATATACTGATTAATGGGATGATTTTACTAATATAGAGTATGTTCAATTAGAAGAGGAAAACCACGAAATGGCCATTCCTAAAGGGGGATGGATTGTGCTATGTTGATATCGAGCCTGTAGAATAGTGGTCTTGAACTTAGTGAACTGGACCTGAAGTGCTTGTTTTGGTCATTTTAAGACTGCTTCAACTTGCAGATAAAGTAGGATGCATGGAATGACAAGCCTTGTGCTGGCCATTACCTCTTCCTCCTCTAAGTAGCCATTTAGAAAAGCATTTTTCACGTACATTTGAAAAATAGGCCATGATTGAGGACTAGGAAGGGCAACGGCGTCCTAATTGTTGCTAATCAACATGAGCAAATGCATTATGATAGTTAGCATCATTGTCTTGTCTCTTTCCTGATGCACCGATCTAGCTATGTATCTTTCAAATAATCCATCTAATTTTAACTTAATAGTACATAGCTCTTTACAACTAAGAGGTGAAGAGACAAGATCCCAAGTGTGAGTTCTACACAGAGCATTTATTTTCTCATTCATAGCCTGCTTTCAAGACCCTTTCTTCTCTTCCTTTGATTCCGAGGTTGGAATAGGAATTTTAAATAATATAGATAAATATGAAGTAGGGGGTTACTTTTATCTATCGAGTCGATGAGAATGATGAATTAACTTTAGGAAAATAAGTGAGTCAAGCTCAAGTGTGATTTATACATGGGACAGCAATCAGTTGGGGAGCAGCATCATGTTTAATGCGTTCGATTGAAGTAGAAAATTTCATTTGATAATCTGCAATGCTTGGATATTTCACTGCGCGTCTATAGAACACTCTAAGGCTGAATTTGTGACAGTCTTCTGTTATATGTTGTCTCATTAATGTACTGTAGATGAGGAATTGCTAGGCCATAGAGATTGAAGATTAGAGCAAAAGAAGTGGGCATCATAAAAAATAGCATTTTATGAAATGTGTTTGCTTTCAGAATCATAACATCTAAATGTTTTTTGATAGACTACATAACTAAGAAATACATACCTTGTCCATTGTGAGGAAATTTTTTGGAAGTCAATGGAAGGAAGATGAGCAAAGAAAGTTCAACAACTGGATGAAGTGTTTTATATTCCTTTTTTTTTTGGGAAGAGTTGAAAATATTGACTCTGATTTTTCGACTTTAAAGGGATTTGATGATTAATTAGGAATATTATAGTTCGACTGCCTCTTCCCAAAATGTTGGAGGGAAACTTGCTTCAAAAAACATGTGAGTTATGTCAGTAATATGTCTATGATTTTTTCCAGAAATCTTATCTTGTTGCAGTGTGCATGTACATGAACGTCAGGAAATAATTTTCTTTACTTAAAACAAGGGCTGAAATTATTTGAAAGATACTTTCATCCTGAATGAGAACAGAAGATTTTAATGTTTTTCTGAGATCAATTTTCATTCATATGAATTGGGGCACAAGAGATATACTCAAGTGAAGCAACAATAAATGTAGCAAAGTATTTGTAACTTGATGATGACAAAATAGGTGCCTATCCTCACACATAGAATGAATTAATTCAAATACAGAGTTGAATTTGTATGCACTCAAAAGAAACGAAAGACACTTGCTTGTTATTTGACGAAAATTGAAATAAGAGATTCTTTTTTTAGCTATTAAGTAGTCTAATTTTAAATAATAGAGATGATGTCTTCAAATATGGATGACCTAATCTACAATGCTATAGGATCCAGTTATTTGAAACATCTTCATGAGAAGCAGAGTGTGGATATGGTATTGAATTGATTTTATCCAAGGCAAAAGGCAGGCATACTTACTCCCTTTGCCAATCACTGTCCTGTGTTTGTGTTCCGAATAGTATAATCAGGGGGAGAAAATATAATTGTCATCTACAAGTTGTCCAACAAAAGTAAGATTTATGGATAATTTAGGAACAAAAGTACACTGGAGTGTCTTCAGGAACTGATGTCAGTTATATATGTGAGAAGAATGTTTTCCAACCGGCTAAACGGACATTGGAGTTTCCATAATAAGGAACTAAAGAAGTGAAATCTTTTTCGTAAGAGGACACGGTTTGAGGCTCTATAGTCTAAAACTGAAGTCGTCGATGAAGTTTTACTTCATAACAGATCGTCGGGTCTTGGGCTTGAATATTTTCTGCATCAATCGTAGGCAATTTAGCAGTTGAGCTGTTGCTAACTGCTTGATTGTTGAAGAAGAGGCATTGGATTATGCATGATGGTGTGAAATGCTCTAACTCTTTTTTGTGGAAGTTCATGATGACACTTGGTGATGATGTAGCCTGTTCTTCTATGGTAACGAACAGTACTCTTTGGAATATGTGGCACCATGTCCATATTCTAATAATAAAAGCACTGCATATTCTTACTATCTTTTATTGTTTGATACTCCTTAGAAATTAACGTCACATCATTGCTCTTTGTTTCTGTGATCGTGCTCACTATTCCTCGTGATATTAGGCATTGTTCTGCTTGAAGTATCTCAAAAGTTTCCTCTAGATTAGGAACTTATTTCAATTTACCAAACTACTGAAGACAGTTTCAAACTCTGATTAGAGTTTCTTAGAAATTGATCTCGGATGTTTTATTTTTTTAATTTTTGCACCATATATAATGTAAACAATGAATCATTTTCATGCAAGATTGAATTATACTCAAGCCATAAGTTCATGAAAACATAATTCTTACACGATATTCCTTAATTCCAACATTGTACTTTCCAGAGTCATTATCTTGAGAGTATACGCTTCAAGAAATTTCATGCTTACTGCATTGCTAGAACGTTCCAGTTTAATCTTCCTGCAGTTCTACAATGCGCTAATCTGACTCGTTACTTTTGCATTAGTTTTCTTTGAGGTTCTAAGTTCGTTCTTCTAATTTTCTTTAGCTTTTTCCGTACTCCGATCAACATATTCTCACAACTCTTGTCCCATTAGAAAACATATCAATGAGGATTCCTACAGTAAATAGTTTTTTGAATTGAAACAATTAGGGATAATAGTTGTTTTTTCTTGAGTCCCCATGTGCAAGAGCGTACACTACAGAAGACAAGTGAATATGACTGCGTAAGAACTTACCCTCTTGGGAAGATGCTTCTTCGAACAGAACAACTATCGAGATATACAAGATCAAAACTCTCCTCAACAAGATTTGAAGTTGAGAGAAATGATAGACAGGGCTTTGATGCCATAACTAGATGAGAGATGAACAAGAGAAAATGGGACAACATGAAATGGTCGCAGTACACTCAGCCCTGAAGAGAATGTCGGAATCTCTTTATAATGCCTTTACATTTATTCATAAGAGAAAGTGACTCTGTAAGAAAGGAGACAACAACAAAATAGTCTTTATTATAGGATACAAGTCCATCTAAATAGAAAAGAACACAAGAAATAAACAATTATTACATAATACAGAGAAAAAAATCTTTAGTTATTATTGAGAATAGTAAATCTCCATTTTATCCTATATTTCATGATATATGTATTAGATTGAAGGGTTTTATAACTTTTTTCGTGTGGATTCAAGGTCTGTTTCTCCTCAGCTTCTACTACATTACCTTATATATTTTAGTTGGACATTCGTGTAAGCATTTTGTCCCTTAGTCTGTACGGTACTCTCATCTATTAGTCCCTTAGGTTGGTTTATAGTATTTGATTTTAGAAAAAGGGCTAGAAAATTCTTGCATCACTGGATGTCACCCCTTGTTCATTCAAGTGTAGCCATTCCCCTCTATAAATTCAGAAGATGATTTTTGGTGCTAGAACAGTCAGCATGTCATCTAGAGAGTATTATCGCTATATTTGTATTTCTGCTTCTCTCTGTTAGTGGATTGTCTCATATCCTGACAGAAGGATGTGATTATTTGCTTAGCTGTCTGACATTTTATATTTTTTTCATTAAAACGTATTATTTTAGAGGAGATTTGTTTTATAGAGGTTATTTGTCTTGCGTTGAAATCTGTTGGTAGTGTATTCATGTCTTCTTTTACTTTAGTGGAGCAAAGGAAGCGACCAGAATTGAAGGGTGTACCTACTGCTGTAGTACAGTACAATTCCTGGAAGGGAGGGGCCTTAATAGCAGTAAGTTATGAAGCTCGCAAGTTTGGTGTCCAGCGGTAATCATTTTTTTTTTTGAAATCTGGTTTTAATTTTTAAAATATTCTAACCAAAAATATTCTAAATTTTTGCATATGATTTCAGCTCTATGCGAGGAGATGAGGCCAAAAAAGTTTGCCCTGACATCCAGTTGGTCCAGGTGCCAGTTGCTCGTGGTAAAGCAGATTTAAATTTGTATCGTGATGCAGGGTCAGAGGTTTGTTTGATATCATCGATGTTCATTGTAATCTGGCATTGTAAAATACACATGAAACTTTTCTTTTTCTGTTTTTCTTTAGACTGAACATAATCTGATTTCAGTTTGCCTTCACAAGTGGCCGTTTGCATTACTCGCATTCATGCAGGTTGTTTCTTTACTGGCAACGAAAGGCCGATGTGAGCGTGCATCAATTGATGAGGTTTATCTTGACCTTACTGGTGCAGCTGAACAAATGCTATCAGCAACTCCTCCTGACACGTTAGAAGAAATTGATGAAGAAGCCTTGAAGTCACATGTTTTGGGACTTCCTAATGTATGCAGAAAATTTCTAACTTTGTGGTTCCTTTGCCTTTATATTTTTGTTTATTGTGTCTATGTATAAAACTGGAATAGGAACCATGATGCATAACGGTTCCTGAAGGTAGTCTTGCCATTTTAAACTACATAGCATGTTCCGATTTTGAGTTATCTTGAGTACTAAAGCATAACAGAGCAAGTCTAGTGAGGTTTTTATAGGATGTTACTAGAATAAGATCAAATAAAGTGGAAAAAGAAAGGATGATAGTAGGAAAAAACTAAATTAGGTGAAGAATACCGTAGCAGGAAAATACCAAGGAGAAAGCAAAGAGAAAAATAGGATACCAATTGAAGAACGAAAATTCTCAGCCAAAATAAAGGTCATGCAAAGCAATGAGAATTTTATTTCACCATGAAAGAAGGCAGGGAATAAGTACTTCTTGATATGGAAAAAGCCCTTTGCATAAATTTTGCGTGTATTTTCTAATCCTAACTGGTCTCTTCAACATTTCTCCCAATTTTGGCATACAACGAAAACCAGCTATGCATCGTTTATGGTCTCTATTGTGTATTTATTGGACTTGGTTTGGATCTACAAAGCAGCCATTCCGACTTGGACGGCAACATTTCTCACACTGGAGCTTAGAGATAGGAGCCCATGGAATCAAATGGATTCTTTATAATCAGCGTCAATGATTTCTCTTCCATAATCTGTTGCCCATATCACCTGAATGTGATGAGAACACTAATGATGAACAAACACAAAGTGAAATTAGCTAAGACCAATCGGAAATCCAAGACAAATCCAATTCCTTTTAGGATCCAATATTTCCCCAATGGACTGGTGTTATTGGTGCTGCTTCTGCTCAACTTTGGCCCTAACATGATCTACAGAATGGTATGATTGAGGATTGGACGATCAATGGATTAGTGAAAATCCGGAACTCCATGTGGAAATTGCTGCAGTCTCCAAACAGGTGATTTATTCACGAGGGTGAAAATTCATCAGCAATTTCTAGAGACTCGTGTACTTTTTGGTATAATACTGCACAATCAATATGGTTTTTTATTAACCCTATTAGATCTCTCCATCTACTTTTTGTGATCCAGAATTTCGATGATTTTATAACTATTTTCTTATGGTAGAAACTATGCCAAAAGAGGATAATATTTGGTCTGTGATCATTCGAGTAACATTGTCAGCTTATATGGAGAGAAAAGCAAAATGGAGTTCCCCCCCTCAATGATTTTCTAATGGTGTTCATCATGTGTCCAACCGCTCCAAGTTTCATTTAAAATCTTTTAGAAATAGCTCCTTCCTCAAGTGGTTAACCATATATCACATCCATGGAAATATATGCGTGGGTATTAGACCTGAATAAATCTAATGTACTAAATAGTTCTGCTTTTGTTATGCATTCTCTTGTTTTTCCCGTTAATGCTACATCTGATTAAGCATAGAGCTACCATGGCCTTTTACCTGATTCTTCATATTTATCTTCTATCTTGTTTCATGAGGCAAGGAAATGCATGAATGTTTTTCTCTCTGTGGGATTTTTTATTTCTATTTTTCTACTTAGTTATTTTTTCTATGCATTATACATTCCGGTTGCTCTTTCAACATCATACGTCATAAATCTATCGATTCTGAGCATAGTCACCAAGATTGTCCAGTCTAGACTGAATAGGTCATTGTGGAACAAAATTGCAAAATTCTAATGTCCAAATCCGATCTCATTCAGTTGGAAACTGCAGATACGACTTATTGGTTCCATTTGTTGTCCCTTGACTGAGTTTGTCCCAGTCTGGGACTATTAATCCACTATCTTTGTGCAACTGGAGTGAGTAGATAGAGGAGAAGAACAAGGATGGGAAAGGACAGATAAACAGTAGATGCTGGCACCTCCAAGGGACACTGTGGTCTCACTAACTTTGCCTTTTTTCCCTCTTTCCTCCTCTCTTTGAATTGTTTTTTCGTATATTTCTTACTTTATCCATAAGCTTACGAGAGTTTTCTGGAGCTAATTGATACCTGATGTTGATGTTCATGTATCTGTATGCTTCTGCTGAGGCTTAACCGTGTACAATATCTATTAGAGAATAGTGGAATGTCAACGACAAAACTGGGGCGCCTACTGCACGATTTTCCTCATTTTAGTGCTAGCTGATATTTGTTGCTTATGCATCTGATGATTTTCCAAACTGAAGTTCCAGAACGAGCTGCTGTTTAGTTAATTTTTTCTCTGCATGAAGGGAATTTAATTGTGTACTTTTCTGTTTCAGGATCCTTGCAGTCAGGGAGAATATGTGAAGCAGTGGCTTTGTCGAAGTGATGCTGATCACCAAGATAAATTGCTTGCCTGTGGGGTTATTATTGTTGCACAGCTACGGATGGATGTATTGAAGAAAACTTCGTTTACATGTTCTGCTGGAATTGCTCACAATAAGGTATCTCACTCACAAGCGTGAAAGGTGGTTCTATATGCATTGACAAATTTGTCTTAAATGTGGATGATTACCTCTGTGATGATGTTGGTGGGAAATGATCATGCTGATAGTAGCGGGGGAGATTTTCATGCTGTGCCATGGTGTTACAGTTTCATTCATTCAGATTCCAAATTTTACTGCACTGTCAAAAAATTAGCATTTCCCAGAAAAAACACCTTTCCTATCTGAAAATTATCTCATAGATGGTACGTACTTTTTACAGATGCTAGCAAAACTTGCCAGCGGGATGCATAAACCTGCGCAACAAACTGTGGTGCCATCTTCATCAGTTACAGAATTGCTTGCTTCCTTGCCAATAAACAAGATGTAAATCCAATTTAGGATGATTTAGTTTTGAGTTTTAGAATAGTTAAGGAAAGAACATTTACTCTTGTGACGTCTTAATCGTTTCAAATATTTACTCGTGTAAGAGCTGAGTTCCATCTAACTTCAGAAATGCCATACACATTGTGAAAACTTGTAATGCTTCATCAGGAAGCAGCTGGGTGGAAAGCTGGGAAGCTCTTTGCAAAGAGACCTTGGTGTGACTACTGTCGGAAATTTATTAGACTTTACTGAAGAAAAGCTGCAAGAGTACTATGGGAGAAACACCGGGTATTTAGCAAAATTTCCTTTGTGTATTCCTCTTTCTTATTTGTCAATGTCACGTAACGCACTTCATTACAATGCCAACTGGCACTAAATCATGAGCAATTATGTTGGATTCGTCTTGAAGATTAATGGTAATAGACCATATGCTTAAACGCGAGGACACATCTGATATTATTTGCCAAGTGTCTGTCACTTTCCACTTTTTTCTTTTTCAGTATAATCCTTTCATCTGTGTTCGTTTATTCATTGGTTTTTTCATTCTCTATCATCAGTCCACTTGTTTTAAGTACTTTTTGAATTTTAAAATGTGTAAAGCGTACTTATTTTCTCATTGACAGACATTTAGCAATGGATTTCAATGTATGTAAATAAAGGAGCCGGGGGAACCAAACTTATGAAAGAATAACCAAATGTGAAAAGTAGCTGAACTTAGAATATATACAGTGGCTCATTTTTTCCTTCTAATAGGGTAATGAGGGCACCATTTTTTCCTTCTGCTCAAAGGGGACTTGTAGCCTGATTAATGGATCTCGCCTGATGTCTTAACAAATATGGTCTCAATATGTTATAATCTAGGATGTGGGTATCAGCCCATGCCGCTATTCTCTTTCGCTAACAGTCTCACATTGGTACATGTCTTGGATGAATGTGTACTTAAGAGTTTGGTAACGTCATGGTGAGATTGGCATGAGTGTCTGCAGGCTTTGGTGACATTTTGTTTTATTGGCGTGACAAAAGAAATCCTCTTGAAGTCTTTTCCATGGTTTTCCAGAGAAAATCTTCATGTACTTCATTTGAACTTAGTTGTAAATCTATATTAGCATCTAGTGTTAAGACATCCCAAAATTAATGTTGTTGAAGCGAAAACCTTTGAGTTGATTCTATAGTAGAGACAGAGGTAGAACCCGTTTATTATAGTTCTATTCTTCTACTGAATTTAGACTGCAAAATTTCACCTACTTGTTCACCTTCCCTATATGTGTTGATTATTTTCTTGGATGAAATGCTTCTTTGTTACATTAATGTTGTCTTTCTTTGTCTGTTTCACCCGATCGCATCATATGAAGAAATCACACATCTGTTTCATCTGTTTTGGGAAAGCATCATCTTTGGACGTACGATTTAGTATTAAGAAAAAAGTAGTCAGCTTCCCTTTTCTGGATGACATATGCATGCCTTGGGCGTCTCAAAAACTTTTCTTTTAATGTTTAATGATGGTGAATGTTTTATTTCCCTTGCACGTACATAGTAACGTACGATATTGCTTTCCACGTATCATGATGACTGCCCAAGGTTGAGCAAAAACCTTCAACTTGTTTTTGGGATCTAGGTTTTGATTTTTTTAATCGTGTTTGTCATTGGGTGTTCCTTAGAGCTTTGTTAAATATCATGAGATGACCTAACCATTTCTATCCTATTTCATGGCAACTGGATAACATATTTGATTGCAATATTTAATTTTGGTAGGCATGCTTCAGTGACGAGAGATGAACTGATATTTCATATTAACTTTGATGCAGAATGTGTTTGCTTTGAAATATAAGGAAGATGGTTGTGATGCCATTGAGATACATGATGATCATCACAATTCTTGTGACCGTAATTATCCTTTAGGTTGACTTTTCATGTTAATTTTTTGCTTGCAGTACATGGTTATGGAATATAGCACGTGGTATAAGTGGGGATGAAGTTGAGGGTCGTCTGCTTCCAAAAAGTCATGGTTGTGGCAAGACATTCCCAGGCCAGCAGGCGTTAAGAACGCTCACCTCTGTAAGATTTCTTCTTTAAATTTTGAGATTAGTTAGTATTTGTCCTTTTCTTACTTTACAGGCTCTACGCAATGCCTTAAACCTATTACTTATGTGTGCAATTTAAACTGTTGAGTTTGACTTCTGCTTTATATACAGAAGTAGTCTTCTCTTGCACTCACTTATACAGCATTCATCATTTCTTACAGAGTTTTATCTCCCTCTACAAAAATTGTGATCTTCCCTTTTTTCATATTGGGATTATCTTCCTCATTACACCGACAGAGGAAAGGCCAATAGGGTAATTTTGTAAAAGCCAACTGTTTCCTTTACTTTTTCATTGGTCTTTGCGTATATCCGCACTCTGTAAAGCTTTAGGTATTCCTTCATATTCTTCCCTTTTTTTAGTGGAGAAATAGCTCAGCACCAAGAAACACTAGAGATAATATGACTATCATTAATAATCTCATTCACCGTAGCGAAAGGATCACATTTTTCTGGTGATTGAGCTTAATTGTTCAGATTGGAGATACCCAGAGGTATATTTTAACCCAACTATTTGAACCTATCAAGGTGGAACTTCAAAGAAAAGCTATGTATTTTCCTGAACTCCCAAATCCGGTCTAATTGACGTCGAAGAACCTATCTGCTGCCAATATATGAAACAACGTTGTGACCCAAAAAATCTATATCATGGTATATCCCTGAAGGCGTGTTATTTTCTTTATTGGCTAAAAGAGTACTTAATATTGTTTAAATCTTGTTCTTACAACGTTCAAAAAAGTAAAGACCAGTTGGTGGTCACTACATAATTGCGTTTTTTGAACTTGTGTGTGGGAGTTGTTCATGGCTGTTTCTTGATCAGATTTTCTTCGAATATAAAAAATTGAGGCAACAACTTTAAAAAAAATTGCATAACTTTGCCAGACTTTACATCGTTTGTCAATGTGCAACAACTTTGCTGAGGATCTCTTTGCTTCTCATCAACTTCTCCCTCATATTATAAATACATTTATTGTGGTAGACTCTGTAATACGATGAGCTAGCTGTTAAATAACACTCATATTGAGTTCATTATCAATTTTAAGTGATAATGTCATTCACAAAGTAGTGTTTTGGAAACCATAGGTGAAATAGACCTTCAAAGACTTGGTTTCCCTATAGAGATATGTTGAATTTCCTTGAGTTCCTTCATTTCTTGTAGAACAATGGACCTTCTCATGGAAGGGGAAAATGGAACTATTCACTCATATGAGGAAAAATTCGTTCAAGATCAGTTTACTGGAGACAGGGGTCTGTAATTTATAACAGACCCATGGGAGAAGGTTCTAGACAGAGCCTTACATCCCAAGACATACAGGTGATGTTCACGTGCTTCTTTAAGTGAAGCACGTGATACACTCACCCCCAACTGCTAACGTAGTATTTACGCAGTATTTCAACTAGATACGTAAAGAAAGAAGGGGTTTCAGAGATACCATCTAATAATGTTGCTAATATGGTTGAACATTTGTGTGTTAATCATCCGTTTAGGTGCAACGTCTGAGCTAGATAGTGTTCTGACCCATTTGCTACTTGTAATTTGTTGGGCTAGTTTGACTTTTACCTATCATTTTTCATACAAAGCTTTCTTTAAACAATTCGTCCCTTCAGAAGTCTTGGTTGATTTAAATGTACCGAGGATCTAAGCTGGGAAAAAAATAACGTGAGTCTAACGGATTGGAATGAGTTACAATGAGTTGGTGAATCTAGCTAAGCATATGTTTAGTCCATCCTAACAGTTAAGTGTCCTGGTACATAATATAAGACCCTTGTTCGTTTTATCCTAGTTTATATTTTTGTGATTGAACTCTTGTAGAGGTAGACTTTTAGAAGTTGCCAAACCTCCTAATATTATGATGATGGTGATAACTGTCAATTGTAAGCTATCAATCATTATCCTGCGAATCTAATGGAACCTCCCTGGTGTGATGCCGGGTGCATCTTAATATACAAGAAGAGGAACTGGGGGAGTCACTTTATGCTGATTAGTTTAGCAAAGACTATAAAAGTGGAAGATAGGTGTATGTTCCAAACCATAAGTGCAGTACCACAAATTGACATGCATAATTTTTTTATATGTGACCAACAGCCCATTCGTGAGCCCAGTAAATAAACAGAATGCAAAAATCTTGATGGGTTCGATTTCTGGTGTTTTACCGCTTTCCAAATAAACTATAGATTATAAGCATTATTATCTGGTTTGTTATGAAATAATGTTCTCTGTGTCCATTTACAGTTTTAAGTGTTTTTCGTTAAATCTACCCTGTCGATTATCCAGGTCAAACCTTGGCTAAACGGACTATGTGAAGAGCTGAGTGAAAGAATTCAGTCTGACCTGGAGAAAAATAAAAGGGTTGCTCATACACTGATCCTTCATGCAGAAGGATTCAAGGTCTTTCACAGCCTGTGGATCCTGCTCAGACTCCCTTTTCATTTTTGCTTCCATCACTGGTAGTTAAATGTTTTTCCAATATTGATAATATCTTTGTCTCTTCTAGGTTTGTGAGGTCCCGACAAACAGAAAATTTCCATCAAAATCATGCCCATTGCGATATGGGACTGCAAAAATTCAGGAGGACGCCTGGAAACTTTTTGAATCTGGGCTTCGTGAATTTTTGGATTTGCAAAGTAATGAATGGGGAATAACCTCTCTTACGGTTTCAGCCAGTAAAATATTACCTGTACCCGCTGTAAGTTTATTAATTTGATGACTTTAAGATTCTAAACAACGTAATTTGGAAACTTATATAAGATCTGTGCCAATTTTCGATTCCAGTTGAAGTTGAACCTTAACGTCTGTGGTTTTGATTGAAAAATAAATGTAATTATTTCATCAATTCCAACGTTTCGTGTTGTATAAATATTTTAATTAGTTTTTAGTAGTTTGAACGATCATCCCGATAAGTAATTACTTTTTGTACTAGAACTCTAGATGGTCTCAAACTCCTGAGGCCTAGATGCAGTTTAAGTTCGACAACATCTTGTTGCACCAAAACTTCATAAATGTAATCACAACTTTTTCGTGAATTCTATACGTGATGAAATATTCGATATGATGTTGGTAACATGTTCGTAAATTTTAATTGTTGGTGTATTAATTCATTCACAGTTATTAAAGACGATATTGTTTGAAGGGATGAGTACTCTGTTGATCCATCAGATGTTTTTTATAAAAGTTGACAGCTTTTCTTTCAAATTGTGTATCCTTCGCAAATATTTTTCTTTCCAGTCGTCACATCATTACAGGATTTATTTCTGACAGGAATACTGGAAACAAGAACCACAAGAAACTCTTATCATGCAAGATCTTTGAGCAACCTTTCTTTTTGCATTTTAGTGAACAAAAACCAAAACTGTAGTCATTTATATTTAAATGGTGACCCTAAATTTTGTAAGTAATTTAAAAAGGGGATGAGGCAACTTTGTCAGAGTTGCTTAATCTTCTGTTTTGTTGTACGCAATTCATCGTTAAATCAAGTACTGATTGCGATTAAAAATTATGCATTTTTACACTTTCTACAGCGAATTGGAGTCTGTCTCTCTCTTACGGCATGAACAATTGCCGCCGCATTGTAGAAATTGATACAACCTCGACTATAGTGGTGTTACAATATAGTACCTGGGATCAGGACATCTCCTTTTACCTGTGAAGTTATTATTTTTATATTGAATGGCTACTGGATTATTAATGTGGTATGGCTACTGGATATTGTTGAGTGCCTATGTTTGATCCTTCCATATTGGTTGTAGGGAACAAGTTCAATTGTAAGGTACTTTAACGGGAATCATCAATCCTCTGCCTTTTCAAACGGGGCGTCTGATAGATCCACTGAAGACACTTCCTCGTTCTCCGTTTCAGGTATGTATCTGCATTACATCATCCCCACGTCTCAGATACTTTCGTTCTGCCCATCTTGTTCTGTCATTGTACGTCAGATGCTCACAGATTTTTAAATCTACTTATGTAGAATCCCATGCAGAGAAAAATGTGGAGATTACTGAAACTGAAAGTAGCTCCGAACCAAATCAACTTAGGCTAGTCGATCATAAAGATGAAGATAATAATTCGCACAATCTGTTCCAGATGACGAAGAGATTTGACACTTCGAAGGCAAAACAAAGAGACAAGGTATTGGGTTGATTTTAAGATATCCGTGATTACATACCATTTTTGTCAGGATTTGTAAACTGTTTCTCTTCTAGCTGAGAAAATGGGCCATCTTTCTGTGCTGGCATTATAAAAATTTGTAGTTTCACATATGAAGAATTTTTGTTGAATCTTCATGAACAATCAGCAGTTTCTCGACATTCTATCAGTAATTTAGATATAATGGGTAATATACTATCAAAGTTGGAACATAAGTTTGCTAGAATGTAGAATACTCCAGATTGTGATCCAAGTTGGTGAAAATAATTTTCTATTCTTATTTCGATGCAAGTGCTTGTCCAGTTCATGAAGATGTAGCTCTTCAATATGCCATCCAGCTTCTAGAACCCTGGAGCTTCCATGGTCTTTCATAATTGCTCGTTTTTTTGGATGAAATGAAATTTATATTTTTTGTCTGAAACGCGCAAAGAAGTCCTGAAAGTTTATATGTAGAAGTAGAAGATAAAATCCGAATCGCCCTATCAGTTAGGACTTGGAATTGCCGCCTTTAGAAGTTTTGGGTCATAATTGTTCCCTTTTGACTTTTGTCGGAGCATTTTCCATGCCAGATATGCACGACATGACATCTTGGAAGATTGGTCGTGAATTATTTCTCAAATTTTTATGATTTTTTTACATCATGTAAAATTGAGAGTGCTTAAAATGATTCATCTTCAAGAACGTTAGCAGGCATTCCCTATGCGTACCATCTGAGAATGTTCTCATACCTATGGTGGCAGGGTACATGTTCGATCATGAAAAATTTTCATCCGAGTGGTCTTTCTTCTTTCTCTTCCTCTGTGGTATCTAACAGTCCGCAATCAGGTGTGTCCCCTTATACATTTTTTCATAAAAAAATTAGAAATGAAGAAGAAGAAGAAGAAGAAGAAGAAGAAGAAGAAGAAGAAGATTTCCGGCTTATCTTATCTGTTCCCTGTGTCTTGATCTGTGCATGAACTTCATCAGAGAAGGAAAGGCTTTCATGTGCGGAGAAAATGGAAGATGAAAGGTCGAATAATGAAAACCCAGCTGATCAGGGAAGTGAAACATGGAGGTTCAACGCGGAGGATGTCGATCCTTCTACTATAAACGAGCTTCCGCCAGAAATCCAGCAGGAGGTACAAGAGTGGATCCAGTCATTTAAACGCCCAACTCCGGCTAAGCGGGCTGGTGCCACCATTGCTCATTACTTCTCACCAGCCAAGAAGTAGTACTTTGGGTGGAACGTCCCTAGCAGATCCGCGAGGTGGGCTCATTGATGTTGGATGAGCCCTCGCTACTGAGGCCACTGCTTAAATAACTTAACTGGCATGTTCCTCAGCTTGATCCCTTTGTTATGTGCTGACAGAATAAGAAAACACCCATCTCTCTCTCTCTCTCTCTCTCTCTCTCTCTCTCTCTCTCTCTCACTCACTCTGCAATTGGCTTAGATGATCCTTCTGCATTGATCTAAACAGGATACAAGAAACCTGACCTAATCTCAGCAAACCTCTTGCAGCGATGATAAGCAGCAATGAATCAGTCTTGAAGGCCATTTCTGGTTGGAGTCTTAGTTTTCCTTATTAGGACCGACCTTCAGAGCCTGAGGCCGCACTCCAACATACATCCTCACAGAATTTCCGGTGGGTCTGACGTGGCCGATGATCAAATGATGACACCCTTAGTAGCGAGAGAGATGGGTGGAAACGTGCAGCAGGGCTGTCGTGTTGTCCGTGGGGTACGGCATGTAAACCCTAGTAACCTTGTCAACATGAGTGAAAGGAAGTCCACCAGATGTGTTTATGAGAGAACCGATTCAGATGGTCGCTTAGTTTGAGCTCTACGTAGTAAACCATTCGTTTAGGAGATAAATTCGCTATCATTTCATCTAGTGGCATAAGTTCTCGTTAATCTATCTCGTTATCATACATTATGGCCCCTTGGTTCATAGACAAGAATAGTATGTGGAAATCCCAAGACATTCTTCAGTTTTACTTTGAAATACATATTTAGTCAAAAAATGTCAATAGTCATTAATGACAGATATGAATAATATTTATCTATCTAATATATACGCGCAAAATTACTTATAATATATCAGTAAAATTAATTAAAAATAGTGGCAATAAATTTTTAAACAATTTTCTAAGAACTTGATAAGCTTCAATAGAAAGTGATATGAAGCGTCAAAATTAATAAAATTACTATTTTTCTGCATTTTGTCATCATTATATAGGCCAAGTTTTCTGAAACCGAACACTTAAGTTGTTCTAAAAACTGTCTCAATAAAAATAGATATTAAGCGTCAAAAGGGAATAAAATCACCCTTTTACCCACATTTGTCAAACATGATAGACCGTGTTCTGAAACCCAACACTTTTCCTCCCTTTCTTTCTTTCTTTCTCATCCCATCCATCCATCCTTTTTTCTTTCGCCCTCACATCCCGAGTCACCAATATCCCATAGCTCCATCTCAATCTCTCCTTCCCGACTCCATCTGAATGAAAGTCCTGCCTAGCTACCTCCCCACCATCGTATCTGTCAGAGGTCGATGGCGAGATCTCGCACTGAAAAATGGCATCACATCAGAGCCAACCATATAGAAGATTGGGGCAATGACTAACTTTCACCTCGTCTTCTTCACTAAAGGATTTGCCGGGGAGTGCAACACAGACACAGACAGATGAGCCTTGACATTACCCGGCTTACCTAGGGAGCCCCCGCCCACAGTAGCAACCCAAAAAAAAAAAGGACGAATTAATTTCAACTCTTTTGGGGGGAGGGGGGACATAGAGCACATCTCCACAGTCTACAACTCAAAAAAAAAAAAAAAAAAAACTGGATAATACAGCTCACTTCGTCATAAAAACCAAAACGAGTTAGCAAACAAGACACCAGACCAGGACAAATGGCCACTGGATTATGAAGGCGGCCGGCCCGCTCCCTCTGGGGCGCGGAGGACAGACGAGAGAAGAGAACCATCTATAGAAAGAAAGAATACCTATTTGGGTCTGGCGCGCCCTGTTCGTTTTTTCTTCACCATTTCCTCACCTCAGAGGGTGCTGCCGCGCGTGAGAGTTCGGGTGTGCCGCCAGTCTAATTTAATCTCACACTCTGCCTCGTCTTGATCATTCGCTTGAGGGCGGCGAGCCAGAAGTTGCACTCGTCCCAGTCACTCGTGGTCAGTAACACCTGACCACCAAGAATTCAGTACACAATACCACAAGTTCCCTATGGCTCCAATGGGGGAGAGAACAATCATACCTGGATATGCAGGGCGCTCGCATAGTCCCCGGAGTCCAAAGCCTGGCAAAGCTGAACAAGCTTGGACGCAGCGTTGGGAGAGATGTCTCCGCTGTTCAGCTTAGCAAACAGGGACCCAATCTTCCTCGAATTGTCTTCTATCTCTCGCTTCTTGGAAGCATTTGCGTGCGGCCCGCCGATAGCCTCCGACGTCTCATTATATAACCTCGTCAGTGTCGCGATCACAGGCCTCAACTCACCTGAAACTCAATGAACGATGAGAAATCATATGTCCGGAGAAGGTAAGGGTACTGATCGCAGGAAGATTCACATCTTCTTAACAAGTAATGCACAGACAGCTATATATTGCTGGTTTCAGAATATGAGTACTTGGCGCCACCATCAATCCCATCAACTCTCTCGAAAGTCAGCACGCCCGACACTAATCTTCAATTTGTTTTAAAAAATTACTTTAATTCATTTATTTTTCCTTGCATAGTCAATGGAAATTCTTGCATGAATATATAACCACAACCACCGGAAAGAAGAGAAATAACTGGGAATTACCTGGTACGTTGGATGTATCGACCGTTTGAACAGTAGGCTGTGAAGCTGGCGGTGCGGCGGCAGGTTGTGCTGACTGAGTGCGAGGACTCGATGGTTGCACAGGAAGACCACCAGTGGGTCGTGGGATAAAGGCAGGATTGGTTACTGGTGTAAAGCTTCTGGGTGGTGGGTTTGCTGCCACGGACTGGGGAGGCTTCTGGCTAGGGACTTCATGGGGTAGACCAGTACCAAGGGAAGTGTGTCCTAGGCCCCCTCCTGGTTGATATGTGACGTCACCAGCTCCCTGAAATAAAAATGATAAAAGAAGAAACTTTTAATGAGATTAGGAAAACCTAATTAATATATCTAAGAATTGAAAATAGCATTTAAATGAATAAAAAAAGAAAGTCATGACAAGCACCGGATACAGCTGAGAACCCAATGTGTTTGCCTGATACTGGTGTACGTTCTTCAGAGTAGGCGCCGCCGCAGGAACAAAAAATTTCACTGGAGGCTGTGCTACTCCAGTAGGTGGAAAACTTCCCTGAATCAAAAGTAGGATTTTAAGCCATTATTAACCTAGTCATATCCCTCAATTTAGGTGAATATAGAAAAAAAATGACCCCAACCATAAGACTGATATTCTAGATCAAACGGTCTTTGATTTCGAGAAATTGTTTAGTTTTTACTTAATCATCAACTTAAGTGCAACAAAAACTGTGTCACAGGACCTGCAGATGAGCAAAAGATCACGTGATGTGTGGAGGACCAAACATTAGTCACAATATAACGAAATAAAGAGAGCCCTCAGTACAATGCATTCGTTAAGTAGACAAAGGCAACGTCACCTGAGGAATCATTTGAGACTGTGATGGAACAAACATCTGAGCGGGAGGCCCAGGAGTAAACTGAGCAGGCTGCTGCTTCTGCTGGGGAGGTTGGTATCCTCCAGACGGAGATACAAGGGGTTGATGGTAATTTTCAACATACGGACTTCCAGAAATCCCAGGTTGCTGCGAAGATTGGGAGTTATTCTGAATGAGGGACATAGAAAAAAGTAGGATGATTCCAAATCTTCCGAAGAAAGAACAAAATACGCATGGGATAGTACCTGATAGTAATTTAGAGAACCATTAACAGCACCCAAAGTTGCTTGCTCAACACCATAAACAGGTTGCTCTGCCACAGCCGCCTCAGAAGATGAGGCCTTTGGTGCTGGTTTTTCTGAAAGGAGCATGAGTATCAGAAAGATGTTGAATGCATGGCAGCCGTGGGGATGACAGATATTTTTTCTTAGAATAGTGTCCAACAGATATTACAACAGTTTCAAGAAACTAACATAAAATAAGCTCACTACAGAAAAATTCATACATCATTAAGTTTGGCTCTTATAAAAAATGGATTATCAGGGAAAAATTCACGTAAGTAGAAAAACCAATGTTTAAGTATATTTGCAGAACGCTAAATTAGAACATTCCTGCACCCACAGCACATCCATGATTTGCATGCATTATTAGACTCTAGCTGAGATTATTGGACTCATACTCCAAAACATTTGTTTCCTTCACGAACAAGGTCACAGATGACCTAATTGCATTACATCGTTTCACTCACAATGTTAGTTGAGGACCACGACGTAGAAAACAATGTGAAAATTAAAAAGCGCGGATTAAAAGCGCGCGGTCAATAATTAGAGAGAGTCCCCAATTATCTAGCATTTTCCTTCACTACAAGGAAAAAAAGGGGGCACTCGGAATGAGGTATTTCGTGTTCTATGTTCTAAACATCAAAGAGACAGTTCAGTTACCTCCAGAAAAAAAGCCAAGACATTTAAAGGTGGAACCTACGACAATCAACTTTTTGGGCACGGAGTCTGAATCCAAATATAATAACAGACAACTGCGGGTTCACATAACAACAGCATGGTGTTATCCAACAATAGCCCTAAAGGCACAACTTGTCACAGACAAAGCGAAAATATGGTGTTTATAAACATACCAGCTCCCACTGTGGCGGCTATTCGATCCTGCAAGATGTCAAGCTCCTGAGAAAACCCTTTTGACCCCAAGAGTCTTAAATACTCCATGGCTATATTTAGAAGCCCTTGACTAGCTAGAAGTTCAACATAATTTTCCACAAGCTTCGCCAAAGAGGAATTAAATTGCTTTCCACCAGTCGCCAAGAAAAGCACAACTGTCTTTTCCATCAAATCCTACAATGACGCAAGTGCTAGTTAAGTCTACAAGCTAAACAATTAAAAACCTAAAACAGTGCGTGGCAGAAAAAAATACCTGGAGAAGGTCTACATAGGTTTTGCCTCCAAGCTCGGACTTCAGACTGAATGACCAAATTTCAACAGTTTTCTTGAGATTTCCAGAGCAAATATAGCACAGAGTTGCAGCAAATGTGTTGCCAGAGGCCAGTAATCTTGACGCAAGAGCATCACATAGGACAGTCCACTCTTCTTTCTGTGCAAACTGTAAGATAGACAATTGCATTTGGATCCAAATCAGAAACATGATACTTCACCAATGGTGGACATAATAACCTAGCACAGTATTCGCTCAAAAACCAAGGATAAAACTCCAACAAAAGAACCATCACCTCTTCCATGTACCAAACGATTTGATGTTGAAATGCTTTTGAAGGGAAAAAAAAACTATGCTCAAAACTTATTGCCAGGAGGCAAGTTGTAAGCCTTAAAGCCTTTCTACGCAAAATCCATTTCCATGTCCAATTCCAAAAAAACTAAAAGTTTTCAAAACCTTCATCATTCAAGAAAACACCTATATCTTGAAACAAAAAATCCCAACTATTTGATGTAGCAATAAAATTCATTCACTATCGAAATTAGTTTCATTATTTTGATCTCTATTAAAAAATATACCTTAGTGAAAGTGTACGTTTTTAAGAGTCTGAAAGAAAGATCAAATGAGATATATGAGTAAATACTCTATGGCAACTTCTCTTTACATAACAAAGAAACTTTCATGTGGACTTGCTAGCCCAAGGTTGAATGGGTGTTAGGCATTGCAAGATGCTTTCTCATCTGTTTATCCAGAGCTAAAGTTAATGATTTTCACGAGCTTTAAGATATTCATATATAGGATATTCCATAATTAACGACCTTTAAGAGGTTTATCTAAGACTTGGCTAAATGCAAATACACATGCTTAAAATCAACAATCTTATTATTTTGAAGGCATACTTAGGGACAACAAATACTATCTTGCATTCATATACTTATTTTCTTTTTACTCAATTTTGTTCGTAATTGATCAACAGTAAGAGTAAATAAGTGAATTTCTTTACTCATTTATTCAAGATGGAATATCTTTCCTTGTTTAGAAAAAACATGTCAAAGATAAACAATATTTTAAAAAACACAGCATAGATTCTCAGTGTTCCGGTAAAACAAAGCCCAAAGATTTAATCTTAGTTGGAAGAAATACCGTGCAGAGGATGGCAAGGGTCTCCTTCCACAACTCTAGTGGTCGTTCATTAACAAAACCCAAAAGATCATTTTTGACCATTGCAGAAACAACCTGAAAATTCATAAAATTATTAAAGGTGCAAAGCATTTCAATCAATTACTACTCACCAATAAATATCAAAATGACAACCTTCAAATAGGACACACTGCTTTTCCGGAGGTACTGATCACGAGTGCTTTCCCATAGGGAAGCACCACCCATTTGAGCAATAACTAAAGCATCTGCCATTCTATTTGCAGATATGCACTGGGAAACTGCTCCTTTGTAGTCTCCAACAATCAAAGCATGCCTAATACCATCATCAAATACAGAATCTGTACTCTCAGCGGACTCTTCTGGTTCTAGTTGTACTTTCTCAGCAACAGGAACATTACTTGCTTCAGCAGTAAAGCTATTGAATTCAGGAAGGGGATTGTTAAAAAAGTTTTCTCCATTATCAAAATCAAATGGACCACCATCTCCAGTTCCTATGTGAGGAGCTTCAACTGGCGTCTTTTCATCCACAGAGAGTTTCTGTGATACTTCCATGCCAAGTGTGTCACCATCTTGACTTTCACTGGCCACCGAGAAACCTAAGTGAGCAAGCAGTTTTGTCCTGGCTGTTCCATCATCCTCAAACATAACCTTCAAGAAACTCCATGTTTCCTTTTCATCCTCAAACCTGTCATTCAAGGCAAAATACTTGAATAATATTGAAGTAATAATGGATAAATAATTTCATCATAAAGACGTATTCCACATGGTGAAACATATTCCTTAGGGAGATAACGTACTGAGACTTGAGGGATTTCTGTTCACATAAGACCCTCAGTGACCCTTTTTCCCCGTTCTCAATTGCAGCTACGAAATCAGTAGAGCGGCTAACCAGACTGGATTCCGTAACCAAGCTGTGCATGTACACCTGGAAAATATGCATTAGACATACATGATGGTTGAGGCAAGACGGAGTAAAGAAGTAAGTCTCATACCTCGGAGCTACCCACAGGAGTACCAGGAGCTGATACACTTGGTTGAAAAGAAACAAGTTTCCCCCCAAAACCAAATGAAAGACCCACAGGACATTTTAACCACTTTGGAGCTCTCAATTTAACTGCAAAGATGCAAAACAAGTATTCTGAGCTAGATTACTACAGTTCCAAACTTTCACTTAGCATTGACTAACTTTCAAGAGGATCCAAATTATAATTCTTAAGAGAAAATAAGACAACGAAATGACCATCATGGCAGGGCCCAATCTGTTAACTATTTGTAATAAAAAAAATGGACAGGGAAACAAAGAGTCGCTGTTCCAAAAATTTAAATAAAAATAGCTTCAATCATCTCCAAAATAGGTTCCTCTCATTACTGAAGGAAGCAGCTCCGGCGGCCCCAAAGGCCCAAGAGCTCAAGATCAATCACTGCTTTAATCTAATTAACCTAATATATGATATACGGATGTAGAGATAATAGGATAAATGAAAGATAGACATAGATATAAAAAGAGAGCGAGGCAGAAGAAAGAGGTATAGAGGAAACAGAAGTATTAGTATAGAAAAGATAGATCTGTACAGGAGTCTTTACATTAACGTTAGAAAATCAAGAATTTTTACACATGCAGATGAAAACAAAAGTTTACTCACCAGGGAAACCACTGATTTTAAAGCTGGGAAAGAAATTATTCACACCGGGTGGAGATTCAAAATGATGCACAAAGCATGAGCATTGCCACAAAATTGTGTAAAAAGCATGGGACATTGCCACTCTGCTGTTCTTCCATGATTGAGACAATCACATCAGATATTTCGATCAGTAACGAAAGAATTCGTCAGTTTTATAATATTAATATGAAAATCGTAATACTCATCCCACGAAACAAGAATGTCTTAGGTTATTCCAGACTTGCTATTTGCCAAGTAGTTCAGATCTGAGCTACTTAGCACATAATGGAGAAGATTCTGCTAAAAAGCAAAGAAATCTAAGAGCAAGAATATGCTTAAGACTGCGTTAAATCAGAATCCAGAAAATTCATGCCCATTTCTTGTCGGTCAGAATTATTAGTATGATTTCCTAATATTTTGATCTTTCATTTGACCTGGAACTCGAGAGGTCTAAAGCATTCGTCCATTACATTATGCATAGAAATAAAACTGGTAAAATGATGAGAACGACGGGTTGTGTCTACTGTGGCACGGTGTCAAGACAACTAGAGAAACATCAGGGAATCAGTAAGGTCGTGAGAAAGACATCCTTGTGAGGACCGTTCAACTTACAAAAACCAGATAACTAGAAAGCCAGTGTTGACCAATTTATATATTTGCATTTGCATCGATCAACAAATTTCATCACATGAGGGAAATGATTGTTCACTGATCCAATCATGCACAAAACTACGAAAAATGTAGAGTCAGTCATGTACAAAAAATTCAAGCACAAATAAGTGCAATCATAACACAGTAGGAATAATCTTTCTGAACCAACAACCTCGTGTCTTATAGACATTTCTGAACTATCTAAAAGACATCAAATCAGGAATAAATTCACCGAATATTCATAAACAAAAAAATTACAATGTAACCAAGAAGTCACAAGCATGGATTCTTTTACTCAAAACGTGAAAACCACAGCATCAATTCAATAGAACCAAAAAGCTTATATATAAACTGATGAAGCTCATTGGCACAACAATGCCATTTTCATTTCTATAAACTGTTATGGAACAAATAGTAGCAACAGCTTGAATACCTGGAGCTTGAAAATTCGCCCCCGTAGCGCTCAATTTCGCACTAGCCTGAACCAAAAAAATGATTTTCATGAGAATCACCACAAAATGATATAATAAATGGAGTGATTTTTTTATACTAAAATAGATGACATTAAAAAAAGATCTTCAAGGACAAATCATATGAGAGTAATCCCTCTACTGGAATAACCCTAGTTTCCAAGATACATAAAGCAAATAAATTGGATGGGCAAAGAAAAGGGACGCACTCTGCTACATCAATTCATTCTAAAATTTACCATTTTAATGTTGAGTATGAAAAAATGCATACATTTCCTAGCTGTCTCGATTTTAAGTCCCCTTAAGGACTCCTCTTCCACTCGTTGAACCCTTACAAAAACAATTTTCAACTCTTTGAATTATTCCATCCATCAGTCTTCTTTGGATATGTCCAATTTACGCCTAATAGATAGAAGTAGTGTCACTACTTCTTTGGATAGAAGTAGTGTCAAAAATAAAAATAAAAATTTTGACTGGAAACGAACAGAAAAGATGAGGAGAGCTGCAAAAGGTGTCATTAAACAACAAGAAAAGAACTAATCCTAACCAATCTCTTGTGCATTCCCATAAGTTCATAACTAAAGGCGAAAATTGTCTGATACTGACGTCTTATTGAAGCAGTTTTCAAAACTCCGCCCATGATGGCTCCCTTCCTACAGGTTTTCTTCATGAGCATAAGACTAGAATAACTATGCAGTAATCTGTAGCTTAACAATAATATATTAATATTTTGACTTTGTCTCAAGGTCGATATCAACCCAAGAACTAAACGGATCAAAGTGTACATCTGATTTTAATGAAAGGAAGAATGAGTGAGAAGAACGAGGAAAGAGACGAATGTAGAAGAGCGGAAGAAGAGAGTAGAAGTGAAGGAAGAACAGAACCAGTACATGATGTTTCTGAAAAAACTGAATCATTAAATCAAATGTCAGGCAAACAGAAACTAAAGGTTCATTTTCATTCAACTTGAAGAATATGACTCATAGATGGGAGCACATCCCATATCTTTACAATGATAGACCAATCCTGACGTATTTTTGTATTAGGCTCACTGTCAGTTGAGTAAATGGCCCTTTCCATACTAATTTCTCTTGAAACTCTATCAAGATAGTGCATCAAGAGGTTACTTGGGGCCTGTTGCAGCTGAAGAAACTCCATGCAACCATGCCAGTCCCTTTTCCCCAATTCTTCTCTTGCTCAATAGTGTGTAAGCTGAGATCACGTTTTATTACTTTAATTGATGGAAGTCACATCAGCAACTGTTGCATGAAATTGAGATGAACTCTCTTCTAATGGACACCCTACTCATATTAAAGCAACAATTAAGAGATTATGTTTCATAAAGCATTTTTCCCGTTGCCAACTATTAACAAAATTCTGTATTTGTTCAACGTTCTCCTAGTCTCCAATAAGGCAGACATATCAAAAAGCACGATCTGATTCTACAATCCTTGTGTATGATGCCATTTCAACAAGTGGAAAAGTACAAAATGGTTATGTACGTTCCCAAAGCCGTGAATAGAGATCATTTAATTATCCTGTACTAACTTGCGGTTTTAAGAGTATAGTTTAAGGATTTACCGCTAAATGTCCAAAACTTGGAGCTAATTGATCCTACAATGGTCGTTACCAATGGGAAAATAACCAAAAAGTAACGTCAAAGTATTTCAACATGAAAATTGTTAAAATTCTTAACCGAAGCACAGAATTGCTTCCACTTCATTTAAGTCTACAAGCAACTAAATAGCTCATAAACCTAATGAGAAAGAGTCAGTTATGATTGTTACTGCATAGCTGCACTTGCAAAAGAAAATGCTTTCGTGAAAAAAAAATCACAGCAAAAGTCATTAAAACTTCTAAATGAAACATATATCCATTTGCACTTTATTAAAACTATATAAATAGCGAAAAAACGAAAAACAGGGAGAAATGTAATTCGTAGGTCGGTATTTCAAACGCTAAGCTGAAGGAATCTCAAACGGTAGGCAGGTCGGTTTTTTATATAGCACCAATTTCAAATGATAAACCGAAGATTCTAAGAAATAAGTTTATTCTGGTTTTGAAGCACCAGTAATGTCGAATCCAATATCTGCTAAACATTAAAATAAGTTAAATACATCTCAGATTGACCTCAATGTTGTATAGGCCAATCTTGACATCAAATGATGAAGCCGATATGACTCCTGGTATTTTGGGGCACCACTGAACATCAAAATTACAGCTGGTACTGGCTGGCAACTCACTGAGAATCTGAGTCAATACCACAGAAAAGCCCAAGTGTTAGACTATTGACTTAAAACGGTCTGCTAAACGATCAAAAAAACATGGGAACTTTATAGAGAGAGTATCATGGGCACCAAAAGGTATTCACCTCTCCACTATTAGTATCCCAGCAAATAGTACGATTATCTTTAGAGCATGTCAGTAAATATAAGCTATCATTTGGACACCAGGACATAGCAATCACACCTGCAAATACCAAAGGAACCAGAATACAACAGATAAACACCAACCGGGAACACTAATGAAAAATTTTGATGTCAAGCAAATAAGATGATATGTACAGTCAAAACATCATGTATAAGATATCCAAACATAACGGTTCATAGAAGATTTCAATCACGAAGAATTCTAAATAACAAAAAAAGGTCATTCAGTAAAGTTCTGGCCGTCTAAAAGGTAACATGTTAAAATTAGGATATAACGAGATTTTCATCACTGTCTTAGAATAATTCACCAAGAGTTGCAGGAATATAATTGAGAACAGTTCGAAAAATAAACACTAGGGAACATTGAATGAAACTAGTTCTCCACCTACAGAGAGTAAAACAACAAAAAATGTTCCATCACGAGCAATGGAAGTGAAGAATGCAGGCAAACAAGAGAACTACACTGCATCGATGACAATGAAAGTAGGACGCCGAATCAATGAAAGCATTAGAAGAAAAAAAAACTAGAAACGGGAAATTTAATCTTGCTAGTGCTTGTATGAACCAGACCATCAGTGTGCCCCACAAACTCCTTCAGTGGTGCTATTGCTCTCCTGACATCCCAAAGCTGAAAAATTAGAAGCACACAAACAAAACTTAGTGAAATGGAAACAAACAATGTTGCCTGAAAGTGGACTGATTTAAAAGCATCAAACTTTGAGAGAAGACGAATGGCCAGCATCCAATGCAATGATGAGTTGAGTTGACATGTCTGGATTCCATTGCAAAACAGTGCATTTCCTCGAGTCCGAAAAGCTGTTAGAGAATAAAGCATGCCATTATCATAATCGGTTGACTCTAAAATCTAGAATCGAGGTGGAAAGGTTCCAATGGCTGGTGGAAATTCAAAATTAAAATAAAGTAGCTTGCCTGGTCACGGGTTTCTGCTGTCTTAAATCCCAAACAACTGAAACGAATCAAAAGACGGGACATTCAGCTCCATAGTACACCAGAAGAGTTATGAGTTAATTATGAGACATGCAATATAAAGATAAAACATTTCCTACCAGTTACGCCATTATGAGAAGTAGATGCCAAAATTGGCTGAAATTTGGGATTCCAAGATACAAAAGAGACTTCACTTTGGGCACCGCTCTGCATACGGGTTTCATATACAGTGAAAAGTCTGACAGAAAATATGAAAAATGGAGCTTGGCAAACAAAAAGGCCAGCTATTTCGTTAGGAGGAATCATAAAATTCCTACAATATAGCATTTAGCGTCTTATGTTGGTTATTACGGTATATGAAAATAAAAATAAAAAACAATAGCTGAGAGTGGTTGCAATTAACAACTAGATATGCGGTCAACAAAAAAACAAGGCTATAATCAAACGAATAAATATGATATGGAACAGTAGCAACGAAGATGCACGCACAGCGCAAATAATTAGCTTGACATACCAAAGTAATTTTTCGTACACAAAATCGATTAATTACGTGCTGAACTAAAAACTGAAAAACATCCATTATAAGCCAATATTAATATTCAAGCTGCGTTCATACACACATATTTCTTCCTTTTTTTTTGCCAGGAGCTTAGCTTATCATGAATCCACTAATTTCGGCCAAAATTGCCACTAATCCCACCAGATGTCGGAAATGTGAGAATATGCACAGATTAATCTTTTATTTAACTGATAATTGTATAAAGCAGATGATACTTTCTCATTTTTGGCATAATCCTTCTTCTGATGATCAATTCAGCCTCTGATGAAAAAGATAGACTTTGGTCCTATTTCATCTCTTCAGAAAATTTTGTAATGAACATAACAGTCCAACTGTTTCAATGGAGGAAAGAACCTATGATTAGCTTTGTCGAAGAGTTCGAAACGAGAATTTTCAACATATTATGAATTATGTATGGATTAATCGATGAGCATTTCCTGAAAAAGACAAGTTTGTAGTATTCGTGAAGAGATTCTTAATGGTCTCAGGCCACAATTATAACAATTTCACATTCTAACGGTTCTAGGCACTTTCTATGAAGGTGGGCAACGGAATAACTTCGTTGATAGGCCTTTCAGTATACATATTTTTGCATTATTAATGGTACCACCTTCTCCTACCTGATATTAAATTTATTCTTTTTGCTTTTGTTACTTGTGATAGTTTTATTTCAATGTTTTAGCCACACTTTAAGATGGATCAGATGTGATACATTAATGAACAGAAAAAATGTAGTAATCAATCACTTTTTGCATTGTGTACAGAAAAAATATCCAAAGCTAGTCTCCCAAGAAATGTTAATTGAAATAATCAGGCGAAGACAATTGTGAAGCTTAACTGAAAACATCTCTTATTTCTTTCCCCATGCAGGTAATTATTACCACAAAAGTGTTCGTAGACAGGAATTTCCATTTATTATGCATTTCTTCACTAGCTTTATTACAGGAAACATTTCACTGAAAATCAATGAACTCGTGCAGAATCTCCCCAGCAACATGAATCTTACAGAAACCAGTGGATGACAGATGGTTTCGAAATGAATAACATCTAACTCAGAAAACTAATAACCTATTTACAATGTCAACAATTCACTATTAATTTGTTTGGCCCACATATTTGGCAATTGATTTATGAGCCTCTCTCTCTCTCCCTGTCACTTAATTCGCAATAATATGATGCCTCTCTTCCTATCACAATCACCATTGCTCTGTCTAGAAACTGATGATGATACGTTCATAATTCAGCCAATTCACTGATAAGCTGTTTTCACCCACTTATTGAAAAGATAAGTTTTAAGTGTATCCCTATCACACTCTATCTCTACCTTGAGAAAGCCAACGCAATATATTCAAAATTCAGCCAACTCACTGTTAACTTGCTCAGACCCACTTAGTTGAGCATCAAGATAAGAGTCTTACCAGGTGCAGAGATCCTATTTAGTATTATTTTCATTGTGATGGGCATTGGTTCATGTTTTAGGCGATTTTTTTTTTAAAAAGGCACGATTTGTCGTCCCTGGATATCATTTATAAAACTTCAAAATGAAGGGAAAATTAGCTTTTAAACAGACCATATCTAGACTTTTCTACAATCAAGCAATTGCCAGTCTCCTTGGTTTCATCGTCGCTAAAAGAAAAATAGCATACCTTCAAAGCCGGATAGTGAATAGGTTCTGAGGGTTTTGCCAAATCCCATATGCAGAGCTCCCCTTCATCAGCCCCAGAAGCCAGCAGATTTGGTGAAAGATTGCAAAATTCGAGGCCACGGACCTGCCGTAAAGGGTAGATGCTTATGCCAGAGACAAACACAGGGGAAGAAAGTTTCAATTATTGACCAAGATGAACCACTTACAGGACCTTTGTGCTTTTCAAGGCGAGACACGAGAGCGTCCTCGACCTCACCAGAACTGCAATTGGAAAATTGCTTTCGAGAGTCATTACGGGAAAAGAAACTTTCCATCCCGCCGACATGGCCGAGAATGCAAGAAGGTGAGAAAAGCCTGAAGGTCGCAAAATTGATACAAGACCACCAGGCTTGCGGACGTACCTGGCAGAGATCAGCCTGAGCGGGTTCCAGATGCTTATGGAGCCGTCCACAAGACCGCCGGCCACGAGACCCAGGGAGTAATCCTCCGAAGGCGAAGTAGGAGGCCGTCCCCAGGACAGGCGATGGAAGCGCTCCCCGCTGGGGCAGGCACCGGCGAGGGGAAGCTCGTGGCCCTCCGACCGCAGGTCCATCTTGAAGATCTCGAGGTTGGCGGAGGAGCTGAACGACAGATCCACCGCCCCCGCCATGGTCCCGGTCGCCAGGTAAGGCGCCTCAGGAGAGAAGGCGGCCAGCGCCGATCGCGGCACGCTCTTTATGCAGGTGGCCATCGTCGCTACGGCCGTCCCCTCGGTGGTCGCGCAAGGGGGGGGAGCAGAGTCACCGGGAGAGCGAGGAATCTCAGATCTGGCCGGCCTGAGAATCTGAGATGGGAAGAAGAAGAACAAAGGGGAGAGAAGAAACAGAGAGAGAAGGAGAAACGAGGAAATATACTGCGAGGGGGGGAGGAGCAGAGAGGAAATGGCCGATCCGAGTGGGGGAAATATAGTACCGCCCTACTACGGTGGCGTTTGGACGACGAGATTTAGCGTTCGGGGGAGAGGCCCGCAGGCCCGATCGACCCGGCAAACGCGAACTCGTGTTTCCACCAAGGACAGCTTTTTTCCACTTAAGTCGCCCCTTATGATCTTACTTTCTTCTGTACCATAAATGAACTATTTTCGTTGTTCTTATATCCACTATGTTATAACCAGGCATTTTATGTGTACAGAATCATTTCCGTAGGCTTTTTTTCTATTTGAACACTCAATTTATGGTTTTTCAGACCTTTATGTACCATAAAAAAATTTTAAGTCGCTTTGAATGTGTGCTTACGATCAATTCTAGAGCATCTTACTTATTAGGGCCTCCTTGCTTTAAAGTAATTCTATAAAGTTGCAAATAGATGGTACAGTTCAAATCATTTAATCAAAATCTTTGGAATACCACTATTTTAAGAATAATTCAATGAACGCTTTGACTTTTCATTTTTTGGTATTATGTTGAATAAGTCTAATGGAATTAATGTCAACAACAAAATGGTTAGCAAGAGTCAATTGCTATGTCATATGTTAACATACTAGAAACTAACACAATGCATGAGGTATAGTGTGTGCATATTCATGCAAGGCCACAGTTTATTTTTGAGCTAGTAATGGTTTTCATGTTGAAAAAATTCAGGACAATTTTGTCAAATGATAATTCGGCATTAGTCAATTATCTATGGTCATATGGCTTAATCATGTCATTATTTTATTATAACATGTTCCAAATTTTCACATTAAAGGATTTCAAATACACAATATTCTTGTAATATATATCTATTTTAATGAGAAAATGAACTCACGTGATTTGTATCAAGCCAATGAGGTGGAGTCACCCCATGTAAAGTAAGTTCTATAATACATCAAATTAATCTTTGGGTGTCTGTATGTTGCCATTAGAAAGACTGCACATAACTAATTTTTAAACTATTTGAGCTCAAAGAAATGGAAATGAAGTTTTCTAAAGTAAATCAACTCCATAATTTGTTTAATAACTCTATTAGCATGAAAAGTTTACATCATTTTGAATCATTCATTGAAGGTTGAAAGGAGAAAGGTTTTGGGATCTCAAGCCAAAGCTTCCATATAAAAGAGCCACATAACATGCAACAAGAAGCATCAACCTTTCAATTTGTCAAAACTTTTCACTTACAGTTTATTTTTGTGAAAGATTTATCAATAGAAGCAAGTGCTTGGAACACAATACTATCGTAGGGCCATGAGTGTAGAGCAGCAGGATAGTGAAGTGCATCTACAAGTTAGCAAGCAGGAGCAATGAGTCAAGTGTTTGAGTACTAAGAGCTGTGAATCTAATGTTTATCCAATTTTCATGAATTTAAAGGTGAAATAATGAGCTAACATTTAGTGCCTAGTAAGATGAACTCACAAGAGGCATTTATGAATCTTGAGGACGATTGACACATCCAATTGTATGGGCATGCCCAAATATAAACATTTATGCTCAGTAGTCATATCATACTACCCCAATAGTGAATATTACTTGTCATTGTTGATTATTTTAATTGATCTCATACTACCCCATTGATGTTCTTTAGGTACTATACTACCCATCTATTTTATCTTACCATAACTTGAGTACCTAATTAAGCATTAAATTCACTACCAAGATCAAATTCTATGCAAAATGATTGAACACTAACGAGTTGATCTAGTTCCATATGAGGCTATCTGGTATACTTAACAATTGTATTATAATATGACATATTATATAGAAAATCATAATTAAATTATAATATCATAAATTTAATAGAAAATAATCAATACTATGCCTTCAAAACAAATATATAATGTGAAACGTTTATAAAATATGGACAATAAATTAACACCTTTTATTGCTAATGAATGCCAACAATCTTCTCCAACATATGATTGGCATGTACTTCCTTTTCAATGGCTATTAAGAGTTGTAAGGAAAAAAAAATTGTTGTCTTTTTTAAAATTTTCCTCAATGATAAAGTAGTTACTGTTTGTTTTCATTCTTACATGTATTTACAATGCAGAATAAAGAGGGAATAACATCAAAACGCTCAAACAAGATGCCTCTTATTATTAGCACCTTTGCAATTTGAAGGACAAATATTTTAGGCACCACATCAGTTTTCTTTTGAAATGAAGTATTGATCAAATTACACAGTATTCATATAAATTACAACTATTGTGTTTACCACACAATAAGTTGGTCTAAAGTTTTTTTGAAAAATTAAAGTTTAAAGTTTTGATTTTTTAAAACTAATTTATTGTTGCACTAAGCATTCTACTTATATGAATAATATGAATTCTACTTAACACAATTCTTCATCAAGTTGTAGTTTGAGTCTAGATGATGATGTAAATCCGTTCGTTATAATAATGATCCTCTAGTAGGGTTCATTCAAATGTCATATCATTTGTCTAGTGGCCTTCTTACCAATCATTTATTGAATGTGGCATTAATTATTTCATAGTGTACATAACCCTATTCCTTGCTATCCTTGCTATCTTCACTTGAACTTTGAATATAAGTGCATTTTTGGGCAAAGCTTCTTCTTCAATGATGAAATGTTGCTTAATTGTCACAATTCCATTCCAAATAGTAATAGTAATGAAATGTGAATGAATTAAGGTGATCCTTAGGTAGCTAGAACATCCTTTTGCATCAAGGGAGGGAACATACCTAATGTTTTTGTTATTGTGTTTCTTTCCACTTTGATTACCTTTCCACCAATACATTCTTCCTAAATGATTAGTCTCATTTTCTTTCACCACTAGACATCCAACTCTATTCATTCAGTAAATTCTTTGACAAGCGAGTGTTGATGCTTATCAATTGGCCCTTAATGGTCGGATCCAAGCGTGAACCAATTAGGGCCCAATAAGATAATGTAAAAACCAAATCTTCCTTAGCTGCACCGTCTCCTCCTCCAGACAGAACAGCCAAGCCGAGCAGATTTAGCCAAAGAAACTAGGTCCTGCCGAGGCACTGCAGGCAAATGAAACCACTGCCCACCAACGGCAGGCACCTTCGGGAGAGGAGACACTGAACCAGGGTTTGATCTAGACAGCAGTCATCTGGGTTTTTCTCCTTTTTATGCTCTTGTTTCTTCAAATGAAAGCTTAAATGTACAAAAAAGCTCTCTTTTCTCGACGAAGTCAACCAGGTTTCTTATTCCTATCAGCCAAGAATTCGCTGCTGAAAGGTGATTATCTACAAAGTCAATGTGGGAAAACCTCCCCATCAGCACAAAAACTATTGTTTTGTCCAAATTTTCCTTTCTCGGTGACTTCAAGCCCACTTGGCGAGGAGGGACATGAGGCCGGCTCCGAGGAAGAGGGCCAGGTACGCGGCCAACTGGAGGCGGCCGTGGGACCTCAGCTTGGGGCTCATGAAGTCGGCGGCTAGGAGGTCAACCAGCGCCATGTAGATGAGGATCCCCGCCGACGCCGCGTTAAGGAGTCCCTCGACGATGAGCGCGCCGCCGCCATTCTCGTCGTACTTCGCCGCCACCCCGATTCCCAGCGCCACACCCACGGGGGTCGTCAGCGTGAAGAACAGCGCCATGAGGAACGCCGCTCTCCCCTTGAACTTGGCCTGTCGGTGGGACACGCAACGAAGTCAACGGTAGCCTTGCAGGTAGGCGATTACATATCTGGCAAATAAACCACGTCCTGCGCCGTTCTGATAATAGATAATAGATGAGTCCGCTTGATAATTTTACCCTTATGGGCGGGGATATTAGAAAAATGATAAATTCTCAGAACGGAGAAAGGCAACCTACCTGAGCTATGCAGCCGCCTAGTCCCAACCCCTCGAAGAACTGATGGAAGCTGAGGGCCCCGAGGAGAGGCCTGATTGTGGAGGGCTGAGTGGAGGCACCCAGAGAGATCCCTATGATCACTGAGTGAACCACGATCCCCAGCTCTAGAACCTGAAAGGGAAAGCGAACAAAAAAAGCCAATCTTTAGCACTTTAAACGGAAGTATTTGCCAATTTCTCGCTGTTCTTGCTCAATAAATAATCTGTAAATAGGAAACTGCATAAAAACAGGAATTATGAGGAAACCATGCCGGCGGAAATTATTAATATTAGTCAGAAACGATGGAATGGACTATCAGATCATCCCCCTCCCGTCGAACTGGAGTGCTGTAGAGAGCAATCCGCCCCTTTCAGCTACAACATTCAAGATCCGGAATACCAGAAGTTAGGCCCCCTTCTGGGACACACACCACACAGAAAGGAATAATGCACTCTTGATGGACGGGAGACAGTCCAATCAAGCCCTCTGCACCTGTTGGCTTGAGAGACAGAGAGAGGGAGGGCGGGAGGGGGAGAGAGAGATCACCTGCGAGATGACCCTGTGACGGATTTGATCGGAGGTGTCTTCCTTTGGCAGCGGCGGCGGGGAGAGAACAGGACCGTGGGCGTGGCCGTGGGAGGCGTGCGTGTGGAGGTGGCCCCCGGGGGCGACCTCCTCGTCCGCAGGGCCCACGTCCACGGGGCTGCCCCTGCGGAATGTCCCTCTCCCGAGGAAGAAGCTCGTGGCGCAGGTCTCGATCACCAGCGTCGAGAGGGCGGACACCATCGCCACGAAGCCCGCGAAGGGAAACTCCTGCCACGGGCCGCCCTCGCCGAGGCACGGGGACGTGAGGTTCTCGAAGGCGTCGGGGAGAACATGTACCAGCCCCGTCGCGAGGATCACGCCGGCGGCGAAGGCCTTTACGACGAAGAAGAGGTCCCTCTCCGACCGGAGGGACGGGAACCAACCGCCCAGCATGGGGAGGAGCACCCCGAGCGCGCCGGCAGCGAGGATCAACCCGATGGCGGCGACCTTCAGCGGCAGCACCGCCTGCTCCCCGGCGCCGGCATCCGGCGTGCATCCGCCGTCGGCCATTGCCGGCGCTGGCAAACAGAAGAGTAGTAATAGTTGCAGAATTAGCATGGCGGCGGTGGCGGCCTTCATGGGCGGCGCCGAATTCTTCCTCCCTATGGCTTAGCTCAAAGAGGAGACTGCGGGGGCTTAAGTAGGGGTGGTGGGCGGGAATTCGCTAGGGCTGTGAATTCGCTACGGCGGCGGAGGATGAGCTCATCATGGCCTTTCCGTGGGACGTCATCATATGGGTAAAGCTGTGGAGGGGACGCCGCCGGTTGCGCCCGTGGTGAGGAAAAAATGTTAAGCAGTCGAGCAGCAAATCACGGGAGCCGTTAAAAAAGAACAAGATCTCTCTACAAGGAGTCTTCCTTCATGATAGGTATCGTCTTAGAACAGGTGGTAAACGAAGAAGAGGTTCACCCGCCCTCCCGCCACCAGCATAAAGCGAACCCCGCCTAACGGAATGGCATAAGGAACCAGTCAAAGATGGGCTTTTGGATCGGTCTGTCATTCATTCTCTACGGCCACCCTTCGTACGACTAGCACAAAGCGGAAATTCTCCCACTTCTTAGTGCCCAAGTTCATCTCTCTCTCTCTCTCTCTCTCTCTCTCTCTCTCTCTCTCTCTCTCTCTCTCTCTCTCTCTCTCTCTCTCTCTCTCTCTCTCTCTCTCTCTCTCTCTCTCTCTCTCTCTCTCTCTCTCTCTCTCTCTCTCTCTCTCTCTCTCTCTCTCTCTCTCTCTCTCTCTCTCTCTCTCTCTCTCTCTCTCGCTCTCTCTCGCTCACTCTCTCGCTACTAGTTATGTATCTATTCCTTCCCTTTCTGTCTGTACAACATCAATCCTTCTATATAGTTTTCCTTCTCTCGTGTGGAAAAGGGAACAAGTATACGAAGGAGCGGACGGCGAGAAATGGGAGAGAGATGGAAGGCGCCTCTGAAGAAGGGAGAACGGGGAACGGGATCCTCTGAAGTTGCGCCACCACTTGCCAATCTACTGTATAGTGGGGGAGGGGGTTTCGTGCTGAGAAAGAGCACTCAATGTGCTCTTCCCTTTGACCTTTTCCCTAGTTTTTCTAAGAACCTATGTTTTTGAGGGTTGACCTGTCAGGGATTGGATTGTGATGACGTGAGGAATCATCCTCACCTCAAAACTTATAACGTATATAAATTATACAGTAAGCTTGCATACTATGATAAAGTTATAAAAATGTTGCTAAGATAGCCTGAATTTAGACGTTACAAAAGTTCCTAACATATAGAGTTATAATGATCTATTGATTGTCAATTAAATTTTAGTTTCTTGAAAGAGATTAAAAATTTACTTTAATTTTTTTTATATTGATAACCTTGTCATGTAGGTATTATATTAATAACCTTGTCGTATGATATTTAAGAGGACATAACTTTGTCATGTAGGTATTATTGTGACAAGAAAAAGCTATTAGATGTGATCATTGTAGTGTAACAATGATTCAAAATACTTAAATTTTAAATAAATTTGGTGGAATATCCGTGATGTTGTATAATCAATAACCTTTTAAACAAAGTCAAAACTTAAATTGAGTACTGAATTATATTAACTATTGGTTTTGTGTTGACTGATCCTGAACACGAAGAAGAACGCAGGCATCAGAAATGCGAAAGAGAAGAGCAAAGATTCCTGACCCAAGTTATTGACTTGACAAAAAATCTGTTGAATGAAGAAGTATATGTAGAGATGATATTAATTGGAGAGCTATTTTAATGATTAAATATTTGGGCATATACTTCTGCAAGGATGATTTTTTTGACATGGATACGAAAATCAGAAAAATGTAATTAAATATGCTAAAAACTTATAAAAAATGCTCCAAAAATGAAATAGGATTCATAACTTTTAACTTAAATGATATGAATAAAATCATGAAAGGAATTTATTTTGGTCTTTTTTAAGGTGGTTGTTTGTGGGGTTCAAGTGGAGCTACAACTCATTCTAAAAGTGAAAGAGCTAAGGTGGTCACATGTTGGGAATATGAGACCCTAAAAGCTTGTCGAATAAGGTTGAAAAAAAATAACTTGAACGCAGTACTTCTACTGTTGTTGTTGTTAAAAGTGTAGGTAAGTTTTAAAAACCATGTTAACCCAATTGGAGCAGTGGATGGAGAAAGGAGAAGAGAAATGGCTACAAGTTCTTTGGATTACAAGATGAAGAGGGAGTTTCTCGAATTGTGTTAACTATTAGAAGGTAACCCATTTCTTTTGGTCCAAAACTTGTATATACATTGCACTTATACATTCTAAATAACTTGTAAAATTTAGTAGTTTCAGCCTCTTCCCATCAATCAATTATTCTATTTATCTTGTAATCCATCAATATAATAGGGGGGGTACATGTCTAACTTACCTTAGCATACATTCACCAGCCAAATCTATGGCTTTGATGATGATACACACCTTCGGAAAGCCCCTTACAGCAGTGATCGTTGAGCACATCAATGAAGAATATGGCACATTGTAAAACTTTTGTCAACTTTGGGTCATCCTAAGTGAAGTTGATTTTCAATGAAAATATGACATATATGTATGTATAAGCCCCAAAAAAACATGGTAGTTGACATTACCTAATCATTTTTATAATAAATCACACAAATTTAAAATTAAGAAAACTAGAAAATATAAACTTTTAGATTTTTAAAAATATTTTAGAATAAATAAATCCATTATGATTTGATAAAAGGTTCTAAAATAGTGAAAAAATTCTCATTTGATCACAAGGATGTAATACAATATATAATAATATTTCATAAATTTATGTAAATAATATAATTTTCTATAATTTTTAGATTAAATAATAAAGATAAAATATATTTAAAAATTCTTGAAAAAGGAAAAATTAGGTATTGACATCATGATGATGTCAATGCCCCAACGAATACAATTCATAAGTGATTATAGATAATTTAATTCATCAAATTAAAATCTATAAAAGTCAAAAGAATAGTAGTTGAATAGAGAAGGTTTTAGAAACTTAAAATCACATCAAATGTTACTAAATTAAATAAAATTTAAGTTTAAAATAAGAAAGGTAGAGTTTTGACTTCGTGACATCGATCGTCAAAATTCTGTATATTCAAAAATATTATCGTGTGATGTCTACAACATCAAAGACTCTCTTTGGACAATGACAACATGAGTAATCTCTAATTTTTTTTGCGACGTCTAGAAATCAACAAGGTGGGTCAATAATCATCTCGTGAGATTATCACTTGATGGAGTAAAAAAATAATGACTTTGTAGATCTCCAATAACTATCACCCAACATAGATAAGCTAAGTGGAGGTGAGGCGTCTCTTAGGGAGCTTCATCCTTAGGTCCATATAATAAGATGAGGGTCTTCACTACATCTAGTATGCTCTCAAGAGGTGGTGACTGTTCTCTTAATAGATCATCATCTTCTCGATGATAGCTTATTCGTCAATCAATTGAAGATAATTTATTTGATAGATTCACAATCTTTTTATCTAAAATTATTTAATAATTTAGTAATAATACTTTACAAATCATATTGACGACATTTTCACTAATGATCGAGTAATTCTAGTGGCTTAATCATTCACCAATAATCTATAGAGAAATCACAATTTAATGAGATTTAAATATGACTTTTGCCTTTAGTGAGATTCGAATCCTCACTGATCGTCCGCCTGCATAAGAGAGAGTGAAATAAGTATACAATACCTTTATAAAGTGAAATTATAAAGGTATCTACTTCTTATTAATAAGGATTATGTTAAATATTAAAATTATTTAAAGCCTTTCGGGAAATTGTGATGCTGGTTTAGTCTCACATCATTTATTTACTGAGTTTTGAGATGTATATATAATAACATAGCATTTTACGATCAACAAGCCCTTTTTTTGCTTGTGTACGACCACTTCTTGCCCCACGTCTAGTTGGCCATTAGTGATGTGAAAGGAGAGTGATGCATATGTGTCCCTTCCAACTAGTCCTTAATTGTTCTACCCCTTTACTCATAACTCTGTCTAATTGTGCTTCTAACTTGCTTCTAGGCCTGACTAGCTAGTGGGTACTTTCTTTTTTTATGAGGTGGGTTAGTAAATTGTCTTCGATGGAGTCAAAAAATGACAACTTTATTGATCTTTGGCGACTTCACCTGATAAAGAAGTTGGATGGAGGTGGGGCACATCTTAAAAAGCTTCATCCTCAAGTTTGCACAACAAGAAAAAGCTTTTCATCGTATTTGGTATGCTTTCAAGAGGTGGCGACTTGTTTCTCGACGGATTGTCTTCTTTCTGATGATGGCTTGTTCGTCGATCAATCGGAGATAATTTACTCACTAAATTCATGATCTTTTTATCTAAAATTATTTGACGATTTAGTAACGATACTTCACAAATTGCATTAACGAAATTTTTGCTGAAGATAGAGTAATTATGACAACTTAATCGTTAACTGGCGCTCTTTAAGAAAATCATGATTTAATAAGATAAAATATGAGTTTTGGTTGTGGTGTGATTAGAATCTTTGCTAGTCACCCACCTAGATGAGAAAGTGTGATAAAGTATATTAATATCCTTGTAAAATGATGTCACAAGGTTATCTCTTTTTTATAAGTAAGGGATATTTTAGGTATTAAAATAACTAAAAATGTCTTGAGTAGCTTTAGTCCCACATTAGTTATTTTTTGAGTTTTGAGTCAAATATAAAGTAATACATCTTTATGTACTCAATATCATCCTCTAACGTGTGTACAACCACTCCTTGCCCCATGCTTGAATAGCTACTAGTGATGTGGAAGGGGAGTGGTGCACACGTGTCCCTTACTAACCCTTAGCTACTCGAGCCCATTGCTCTCGACACTACTTGACTATGTTTCTAACCCCACTTGTGGGCCCGGCTGGCCGACAAGTACCCCCCTTTTTTTTATATTTATTTCTCTTCATTTATCTCAAAAATATAATTATAAAATTTATATAAATTCACATAAAATTAATTAATTAACCAAAAAATTACACTAGTCAACTAAAAACTACTTTTCATAATTTAACGTAAATATAAGTCTATTTATAATGAGTTAAGATATAAATTATATTATTAATTAATTATTAACTCATCAAAATGAAACTTATGACACCTCCCAACTTAAATCATTGTTAGTCCCTTAGTAATGAAATTAAGAAAATTATTTAAAATTTAAAAACCTTAAAAACCTCATATTCTATTGCACGAAAATATAATTAAAAATAATGCACCTGTAGATACTTTATCAAATATTTAAGAAAAATTGATGTCAAACACTTAAATAGTTAATAATTCATTGAAATAACACAAGACACTCTAATTATCAGTATTCATCTAAGAATAATATTGATCTTGAATTTTTTTTTCATAGCTTATTTTTAAAGTTTACACTATATTTATTACTTTTTCTATAGTGAATAAATAGCTTTTCCTATACATAAATTTTGACAATAAAAATGATGTATCACACCTTCCATGTATACTCTTCATTTTAAAAAAAATTACACTAATTTTTTTTTCTAAATTCTGAAATAAGTAATTTCTCCTCACAAGTCATATAGATCAAGATGTAATATCTTCGTTAAACTCAAATGATCAATCAAATTTTCACATCATAAATATTATCCATCAAGATTATGAAGTGAAAATCTGTAAAATCAAATCTATATTATTTGTCATGTATTCAAGGAGTATTCTAATATTTCATGCTACTAAATCATTCTTTTAACACAATAATAATCATCTCAATATCTTTTGATATCAATAAATCTAATTAATTTAATTTTTTGTGCATGAAATATGATATTTTAAAATTATAAATTAGATAGTTTTGACAATTTAGTTTTCTATTTTCTATTTTCAATTTAATTTTCAACAATTACGAATTTGTCAAAATTAAACCAAACTATCCTCTTTATAATTGTAATTTTTGAATTTTAGAAATATATTTATAGGGGATTGAAAATGTGAGAAAAAGGTCTATAAAATTTCAAAATTTGGTCTATTTTTTTCTGCAGTTTCAGTCTTGTAATTTTTGACAAAAAATCAGCATTTAGATGCTATTGTTCTTCCAAAAAAAAATCTACTTGCTTGTAGAAGTGAGCATAAAAACAAATGTAAACATGTGCTCAATCATTCTACAACATAAATAAAAGATTAATACTTCATCCCCCCAACCTAATGACAAAGAAAAGTCAGAAGAGAATATGTAGAAAAGATAATTTTCAAGTGAATCATGCATATATACAAATTTAAGTATTAAAAATGTTATTATATAGGATGAAGATTATGAAGAAATTTAAGCAGTAAAAATCTTACACTCCTACACATTTATTCAAAGAAACAAATACAGGAAAAAAAAACTGCAAAATTTTAAAAAAAGTAGAATTTAAAAAGACAGAACATGATCAATGAAATAAAAAACTACTATGGATTGGCTCTCATGCAGTGCTGAATTTAATGTCTTCAGTTGGACAACTCTTAAATCATATACATGATATATGGCTGAATTTAATGCCTTCAACTGAATAGATCTTAGATCATATAAGATGTCTTCAACTTGATAGCACTTAAAATAAATTCATGATATCCCAAGGTAAGATGATCTATGGGTTGCCTCCCATTTGTGATTCATGAGATGACACACAATTTTGAGATTATTCTTAGTCCTGGCCTACTTAGTTACGTGTGAGTGATGCCCATTGGATAGATAAGGAAGCCACTAATGCTCTGTGTGTGTGTGAGTGAGTGAGTGAGAGCGAAAGAGAGAAAGAGAGAGAGAGAGAGAGAGAGAGAGAGAGAGAGAGAGAGAGAGAGAGAGAGAGAGAGAGAGAGAGAGGGACTCGTCCATCGGGGCGCAGCATTTCTCATCTTCTAGGCCTATTTTTGTTCTATGCTGGACAGAGGCCCGGACCATTATATTACTCCGAAATTGGGCCTATGTTACTGGACCGAGTGAGGTCCGGACCAACCCATTTTCCTCTTCTTGAAAATTAAAGGATAGCGGGCTACCAGTTCCCGCTCTTGCCGCCTCCCAAGACCATCTAATCGGAGCCCGAAATCTTTCCCCCTTCCGCCGGCGGCAGCTCCCCAAAATCCGGCAGCGTTCCTTCTGGTCTCCCTCGGCTGCTCCGTAATTCTTCCCTGGGTTCTGCCACTGCGCATCAATTTCTCCTTTCTTTAGTCTCCCTTCTCTTTCTGTCCTACGATGGGAAGGCCGAAGGGGAAGAAGAAGACCATTCAGGGTTCACCTCCTTCCATTGCTGTGGTGGATGTGCCCGCACCCACCGCCGTCGCGGACAAACACGATGAGGAGAGGAGGCGTTTCGTGGAGCAGCAACGAATGTTCAGTGATTGCGAAGGTAGAAGATGCGGCCACATTCTTGAAATAACCTGTTGGCAGATCTCGTTTGACTTAACATCAATTTTTTTCTTAAATGAACTTAATTATACGTTTGACTGCTATTATATTTTTCGCAAAACTTCTTTCAACAAAAGTTAGCGTTCATGAAAATAAAACTTTTGTCAGTGGAGAACGGTTTATTTAGGTATCATCGATAGGTGCTTTTTTGTTGAGTAAATTGGATTATACCGAAATGAAGCCTCTGTGACACATACTTTTTAGCTGCCGTCCAAGAGGTAGCAAAAACAATTTAACAGTGAATCGTGAGGTTTCAGCCGTTGATAATCATTACCTTTCCCCTGGGAAGCCAGACTCTTGAGAGAAAGGTTCTGTAATTGTTTGTGAGTACTTTTTGATGGTATATAAGGTACTGTTGTAATTTCAATTGTGGTTTTGTCTGTCATTACTGTCGTTCTCTTCAGTATACCATCGGATAATTACTGCACATGGGTCAACTTGACGGAATTTTTTTAAATATTTGCTTTATTTGCTAACGTTTACTCTACTTGGGTTGACCATCTGATTGGGAATGGAAATCACATGTCGCCTAGGAAATTTAATGGCCGACTCTGATGGTTCTGATTTGATTTTCATTTCTTCTTTTCGGGTTTCACTTTTGTCCTTGGAAGGCCTGACTTATTGCATTTCACTCTGGGCAGTTCAACGGAGAATTACAGCAATTGAAGCTATTCGTGATGCAGAGATTGAAAACCTGCTATCTAGATTACGGCTACTTCGATCTTGCCTAAAAAAGGAACAGCTGAGGACTCCTGTGTTGCAATTTTTTAGAGAAAACTTGCCTAACTTGTCTGTGGTGAAGAAAGAAGATGATGGAATCTTCGAACCTGAATGGAAGGAAAAAGTTGGTGGCTTCCCTCCAAATAATGCTACTGGAACAAATGTACTTGCTTCTCTTGGTAGAGGTTCTACGCTGCCATCAACTGAACTTGGTCCCGACTTTTCAGCACAGTCATGTGGGGGATTTATCATGTTTGAATTTCTTTCTTTTGCTTCATGATATAAATGAGACTTTGATCATTTTTATATTAGATGTACAGTTAAACTAAATCTTCTGGGGGCTACACAGTTGCCGATTCCTGGTTCTGTAAGTTATCACCACCCTTCTACGGTTCAACCTTTCTAGACTGTTTGGCCTGTCCTTGGAATTTTGTTAGATGCACATTCTGAAATTTGGTTCCTTGGAATTTTGCTTGCCAGGCTCTTGAAACTTCTTATCTAGGAGTACAAGACACTTTTCAAACTCCTGGGGTTTGTATTCTTGATCCTTATGCAGTGTTTTGCTTGTGTTCATAGTATTTATTGAAGGATGTGGCTACCATGATTTACCAGTTTCAACCTGTTTTGTCGCGTTATTTATCTTAGTTATTATGATGTGCACTATACAACAGCCAAGCTGGTTTCATTAATAATGACACATTATTCTTGATGTGTTAAGATGGTGCTTATTTCAAATGTTTCAGGTTACAACTCACAGGTTATCTTTTGGCATGACCCCAAAAACTCTTAGACTTCCCAAGCATGGAGAGATGCTCCTGTCAGTTCATGGCTCTCCCCTTGGCGTGTTTGGGGAAGAGAACTTGGAGGCTATACACGGTAGAACACTTGTTCATAGTAAAGCAAAGGAACTTGACACTTTCCTTTGATCTTCTGATCGTGTTTACAATTTTCCATCATTTGCAGAGTCTGGTGATAGTTTCCATGACACCTCTCTGTAGAAGCTTCATGAGCATCCCAGAGGAGAGAAGCTTTGCTTGGACATATAGGTTGATCACTGCCTATCTGTCATATATCTGTGTTGTAAGGTCTCATATAGTTTCTTTTAAGTGGATTAGAGGCCAAAATACACGAAACCCCTGTCTTATGCTTCTTGTTGGTCAAAGTTGATGATATAATTTAAGCTGCGCATGGATCAATAATGTTGAGTGTGGAGTGATATTTTTCTTTCCTATTTCGTTACAATCATTCAGTGGAATGATCAGAGCTTGAATTTAACAATCTTTTGTTCAGTACATAGTGAACGAAGAACATGCTGTCCGGTGTGATGGGTTTCCTCATGGGTTGAAATCAGAGCCAATTGAAGTCTATAACAATGTGATCTTTGATGGATAATTCCTCGAAAATAGTTTTTTTTATTGTTTGCCTTTAACAAAATAAATGTTTTTTTTGGAGATATTAGAGCAATGTCTGCCTTTTGGGGAATACGAGTCAAAGCAATAGCAAGATTATTTCTATTGGAATTTCTTTCACTGTCCTCAAGATAGAGGGTATAGTTTATAGGTAAAAATGTGATTTGTCCTAATCAAAACAATGAGAGATATAGACCCTAACTTTCAGGAGAAGTGGTTTAATTTTCTGAATTCGTTACAAACAAAACTGATGGTTTAGCATTGGCAGTTATCTGATACAAAAATAAAAATTGGAGCTATATATGATTTTCTAACCTCCGGACGCTCTCACCTATGAATTCAGTATCAGACGAAATCATCAAAACTAATTTCTATGAATAGTGTCACATTCTAATTTGGTTTGTTTCTCTCTTTCTGTAATTGTGGGGTTGAGGGTTGTGCTAGATTCCAGCAATGTGTCAAAGACACCTCTCCCCCTCCACTAACACGAGTATTACTGATAGCGTTGGTAATTTCCTCTATATCGGTATGAGTTACAACACATTTGCCTTTTCTTGAACGAATTTCCTGGTCTTCCATTGATTCTTCTTCATTTTCTTCTTGTTCTTCCAAATCTTTGGTCAATTTGTATGACTTTCAAGGAACCACTTTTCTGATTTCTGTTGTTTCAGGAAAAATGAAATTATTATTTTTATTTCTAAATTTATTGTCACTGTGCTGGAGGAGCTTCGTGGTGGTGGATGGATGCTGGTAAATAAACAGCAAAGAGACCAAAATTACGCTGAAGAGAGACTCTTATTCTTCGTCAAAACTACAATGCAGATGAGAAACAGAACAATGTTTCTACTGTCAACTGTGAGGACTTGACATCCATAGTTCTTTGATTTCTCGGCATCATACAGGAGTAACCAGACGTGTCAATAAAATAATCATCCAAAGCAGAACAAATTCTGACAATATTTCAGGTAATAACACCCTACCCGATACAATTTAAGGTAGAGGGTAAGCTCTGATGAAGACTTTTTCAACGCAGAGTACTCAGCGAGCTACAGGGGCATCACTATAGAACGAGCATCAGAAATAGCCCTTCCCAATACAATTCAGACATCGCTGGATTCTGCAATATAAAACGCAGAGTAGAACTGGTCAGAGAACATCAGCAGATATGATACACGTTATGAATGTGATGAATAACATGAATTCAAACGTCGTAATAGTTTGATATCAACCAGTTATTCATAAAACAAAATGGAAGCAACGTCTGCTGGCTACCAGAAGCTAACTTGATCTCTGAGGCCCTACAGTTCAGACGAAAGGAAGCCAATTTCATATCACTGAATTTGATTTCAATCCTAAAGTGCTGCATGATGCCGCATTGTTTTGTTCAGATTTTGAGTTGATATCGGTATTGACAATCCCAAACACAAAATGGATAGCAATGAGAGATCTCATGCTGTGCATCAGTCTTTTGCATGCCGGGCCGCACTTTGCTCGAGACCAATCGAGAGAAATGAACGAGCATCGAGAAGCAAATCTTCGGTGCGTCAGCTTCCACCACCGGCACCCATGTTAGCCCAAAATTTGAATCGCGGCGAGCGTTTTAGTCCACTTACTTTCTCCCGTCGCATGTGGGGCAGAGGCAAGGGTTGATGGCGATGGGGTCGTACAGAGGAGACCACTCTATGGTGGAACTCCCTCGGCACAGCTTGCAGGCTTGGAAGCCCTTCCCTTTGCAGACTCCGCAAGGCGGCGCCGACTGCCTCTGGAGAATACCAGGAAACGAAGACAAAGAGGAGCCCAGTAAACATCCCGGAGGAAAACAAAAGCACGGCGGCGAGAGAGGAAGCGGCAGATTACAAGTCTCGCTTCGTCGCGTTTCCGCACAGCCTCGTAGGCTGCCACAGTTCCCAAGGTCACCGCAAGGAAACCCCCAATCAAGAAGCCGGCGGCCGCCCCGACCGCCCGCAGCGGCCTAGGGGTCCCTCCCATTTTTACTGGGGATAGACTGACGACGCTTTGTTCTGCCGGATCAAGATTTGAACAACAGTAGAAGAAGAAATACGCACAAGAATTTCGGAAAAAAAAAAAAGCTGGACAACAGCGCGCCGTTCTCCACTGATTTCAGTCGAGTTTCTACGGCCCACGCGATGTTCAATCCGAAGCGAGCGAGGTTTTGGAAGTCGGGTCACCTCAGCCTGTCAAACGGAAGAGCGGCGACGATGTGGGCTCGCCCTGCCTGATCGACCCCCGAAAATCAACGCATATATAAAAAAAAATTGATTCTGAAAGGATGGCATTGGCCTTAAGTCCTCATTTCTGTCACGCCTATCTCGCGCCATTTATCAAGAAAAGCATAAAATATGAATCTGATGAGTTTCCTGAGTTCATCTGACAGCCGCTCAGTGAAGAATCGGCTCTGAACAGCCAGTCGCAGGGCAACATGGAAGTCACCAACATGTGCTGGCTCAGAGATTTCTTCCTCCTGCTCCGTAGTACTAGTATGGGATGGGCCAAGCATGAAGGGGTTGAAGAAAGAAAGGGAAAGGTTCATCACCATACGAGATGCAATCAAAGCTACAAACCCATAAAAGCTACACACAATACACGCTTCAACAGAGACAATCAATCGTTCAAGACCGACAATACATAGGGCCTCCGCCCCAAGCACAGCGGAACATGGCAGGCTGAATGAATTATTGGATTGGTGAAAATGGATTATTGGAGGGACCCATCAGCAATCTTACTGTGGTTCAGAAGAGAAGGAGAAGCCCCAGGACAATGGCTACAATAAGCAGGATCGCTATGAAAGCCATGCTGGCCTTAACAACTGCTCTTGTTGGGATGCAGCAGGTGTAGGTCCGACGTACTTCGGTGAGTGCCAAAATGAACAACGAGAGAAAGAAGGCGCAGGTCAGGCATACGGCAATCATATTCAGTTCAAGCCTCTTTTTCTTGTCCAATGAATTAGACCCAACACTCCCGCTGATTAGCGCAATGTCAGCCGCAAAGGACAGGCCCCCAGCCCAGTAAGAAAATTTGGCCCTAAACTCCAATTGGCTGCCATGGCCTTCATCGCCAGAACCATTTATCTGCGCTGCACTCCCCAGAGATGCACTTGGTGTCGTGTCCTGCTATTCATGTAGTCAGAGAGATTGTGATAATGTAGAGAATTTTTAGATTACAAGATGTGAGACACAGAATCTGAACCAAAAGAAGCCAAGTTAACTCACGATTTCTGTCCATAAATGCACATCTACCAAAGTTTTCAATACAACAAAGTGATATAGAACGGATATATGTGAAACTTCAGTCACAAAAATAAGAAAACATACCCTGCTCAAACTGAGGGAGATGCATCAGTATGGTGTCATGATTTTTTCTTTGTAACTTGTTCTTTTGGGCCTAATGGTAGGGTTGCGATTATATCTTTTTCTTTGTTATATTTAAGCCCAATCTACACATACGACTTTCTGCATTTATCAGAACTGGATCCTCCGACAAATCAGAGACCGTTCGTATAAACCTGATTAACTACTGTGTAAATAGGGCCACAGAAAAAAATGATTTGATGACAAATTAAAACAGTCAATATCTAAAAACGGAAACAAGGACACATCATGCGGGAAACGAATCTAGAACAAAATATTCACTAGTTCGATTTTTTCTATAGAAGATTATATATTTTCAAAGATATTCTCCAACTCAACACTGTCTACCATATGGATGAATTAAACCCTACGATTAAAGGACTCTGTAAATAGCTTTATTAAAATGCATAAGAAAATGCAAGAACTGGATAAAGTTGCAATTAGTAAACTGCTCTTTGCTGAAGAATGAATGCTGACTTAATATTTTATTAGTATCTAGTACTGTAGCAATACACGGCAAACAAAAATAATGTAGACTAGTTACAAGAATCTTAAAACACATGCACAGACAGAATAATTCAAGTACTGTATGAGGACTGATCAAGCACCAAAAAGATTGGCCAAATATGGTTGCATCTACCGAATGGCAGTATATGCTATTATGTCAGTAATCTATATTCAGTTTGAAAAGTAGGTACTGCTGGAAGCAAATGAACATACAAAGATTTGTGCCAAGTGTCTTATTTATGTATTGAGGTCAAGACATTCAAAAAATAGATTCAAGAGTATTTCAAACACAGTCAGGGCTTTTTACCATGGCTGACGGAGGACTAGAGTCAGGGGCCAAATTGCTCATCTCGATTTGCGCTCCACTCTATATCAAGATAACGGTAATGAGCATTGTGCATTAATTGTTTTGCTTCATCCTAAAA